TAATAATAATAATAATATAAGATATCCAAAGAACACGTTGTAATTTTTAGTGGATGAAACAAATCTCTCCTTAGGCCCCATTTCTTTGGTCGTAATCGTAAAAACACGAATTCGCAAGAAAGCATATTTTTAAAGCAAACATCCACGGTTTAGTAACAAAATGTACCTACGATGTAGCGTTAATAGAATTTGACCAAATAAAGGTATACGTCAATGAATGCGTATTGTAAGTAAATCTTTTTTAAGAACCGCAGCATCTGATCAAGATTACCGTATACCGCAACTATCGTATACCGAAGACGTATCGCCACGAATTTACCACCGGAAACTTAGGAGAATCCCGGAGGGACCATTGTGACACCCTGTTCGCGATATGTATCAAATTATCCTTATAATAGAAAATGGCGGCAACGTTACACCTACCAGGTGTTGTGCTAGGCGCCAAAGAACGGTCCACACTGTAAGAACACAATGAATTATAATGCACTCCGTGTCGCGCACAATAATATCTTCACAATGCCGTTTCTGGCTACAAAAGGTGTTGCTTTAATGGGAATCTGGTTACACCGAAACCTTTTAACCAACGTCGTCGCTTTTCCCGCGCGTGTAAACAGTCACAGCGACCACTGATCGAATCTTTTCCCCTGGAAAACACATTTTTGCCAGTTAGGTCGGGAATATGATATTCGATGCTGCAGGGTAAAACGACGGTTTTCGATATTTCTGTATCGTCTTTATCTGCGCTGATTTCGAAATATGCTCCAGCTACTTAAAGTGGAATAGGATTACACAAGAAAAATGTAGGATAGGTCGTTCCTTGGGGATCTCGTAAGAATATGAAAAACACAATTCGTATCTCAACGTCGGTCACGAAGAACGTGGATTGTAATTGATCGTTACGAATTAATGACGGTTTCCGATATTTCTGAACAGTTTTCACCAGCAACTATTCATCCTCGAGTCTAAACACGCGTCAGCCAAGTACTTGAGCCTGCTACGATCTTCGAATTTTTCAATCTTTTTAAATAAACACGAAGGATTTTTAATATTTTAAGGTGTTTAAACACAGAATTTTGTTGAAACTGAATACGTTTTTTTTTTTAACGTTAGAAACATATAATTCGATCAAAGATGACTGAAAGAACGTAGCAAAGTTAGAGTAAGTAGAATAGAATTACGCGGAAAAAATTTCGGATAACTCGTTTTTAAAAAATCTCGTGAAAGTTTGACAAACACGATCCGTGTCTTTACCTGGCTACCAAAAATAAAGATTGTAATTGTAGGTAGAAGAACTTGACTTGGCCACCAGAGATGCAGATTATAGTTGCAGATAAAAGGACTCGACCTGGCTACGAAAAATACAGATCGTAATTATAGGTAAAAGGAGGAAATTCGGATTGAAACAGAAGCTACGCGTTAGTTTGGCGATACATTTTTCTTTCCGTCGGATGAGCGCTTGTGCTATTGGATAACTACGGGCGTAAAACATTAACGAGCGCTCGTCTCTCTTCGCCAGTTTAATTACGAAAATTCGTTTCGTTTCTCCGATCAATTAACTTAATGCTTCTCAAACGTGAAATCTACCGTATTATTACAAAGTGGCGTGCAGTTCGTTGCACGAGCAAGAATGGGGCAAGTCAGTCCGAGAAAGATAAAAGAGTGACCGTTGTAGTAATGTTCGTTGGTTTGTGTGAACTTGCACTTTAAGGAAGCACAGTGAAGCACAAATCAAAATGCAGTCGCTACCGGAAGAGTACTCGAGCAGTTGAAGAGCCCTTCGCTATTACTGTGGAGGACTTCGCAGTGCTTGACGAATCACTCACTAATTGCGTTCGTGACATGGCCCAGAACTAACAAATGGTTTCTTCGCTTGGAAAGTGTCGATTATTTTTTCTTTTCTTTTTTTTTTCGCAATCTCTTTCACCGTATTTTTCCAGCCGTATACACATCCGTGAATTGTACGCGAAGGTTGCGAAACTTTGTGAAAAAAATGCGGAAAATGCAAAAAATTGAGTGAACTGTTAAATATTATTAATAGTATGAAATCTGTCGATACAGGGAGAGGAAAAGTTGATGTTTTGCAATTCGATTTTGGAAGTAAAATTACGTTACTTTTCGAATGAAACGCCCGCTAGACTGGCTTACTATTATTCTCTCTATTGTCCTAATGGGGGATAATCATAAGATTCTCCTTGAGAGTCTCATTACGAATCAAGGACCCCTTAATGGCTCCTATGAAACTCATTGGCCATTTAACGGCGAGGACGCGCCGATAAACGCCGAAGGATTGACGAGCTCGAGTGCGAATTTTCTCGTCAATCATTCTCTTCTCCTTTGCGACATTTTCTACTCGCAAACTCGCAAATTACGCGAAAAGATTATAATTACGAATTCAGAAGCTGGTTTAATCCGTGGTTTCTTCTGCTTTACGAATAATCGTGGGAAAGGAGCAACTGTAACATTTAGGGGAAGATAATAGAAACAAAATTAAAAATATACCTATTAGAGTTAGGTATGTACACGAAGATGAGACACGTCGCGTACGTTATGCTCGCAACTGTATCGTATTTTCATTATCATCAAATTGGACACGTAGTACAGCCACGAATTTTAACAATGGTAGCCTCACCATACTTGCCTACGTACGCCCGACACCCTTTATACGTTCCCCTTGCGGAAACGCGACGTCTCCATGGTTACAACATTGAAACCCCGCTAGGGGATGACAAAATGGAGAGGCGCAATACTCGGTCTGACAAAAGCGAAGTAGAATCGAAGAAGTTCTTCGGCTACGTGTAACTTGTACCTGAAAAGTCGAAATCTATATAGAAGCAAATAAGCAAACTCGCAAAGTTTCGCGCTAATGCATCCGCCCGATGATTAAAATTCTTTTAAACGAATTCGAAAAAGGAAAACATCTCTTGCTACAGGTAGAAATGGTCGATATCTTTACGAAAGTATCGACGATAATTATTAACAGTCTAATATGCCCGATAGATTAAACCATAAGTAACAGTTTAACGACTACGATAGAACTTTGGTCGCGTGAACACCATTTATATAAATGAAATTTTAATTAGCGAACTACCGATTCGATCCACTTACTTCGACGTAACTTTCTATTATATGAATTTCAGCTAATACGAACAGGTGCGGATAATTGGAATTCTATGTATATTCCAAATTTATAAAATTACAAATATATCGTACGAAGATATATTCTAATGATCGTTGTATGATTTACTAAACTCTGTAGGAATTAAATGCGATATATATTTTACTAGCGCAACCAGTTTCTTTTGACGACAAAGGGAAACAGAATTACGATCGCGTCATGTCCACGCGATTTGCGTTAACGTCGTTCAATAATAGCGCCCGCATCGACGCTATCTGTCATCGGAGACCATTCAACCCATGCGTACCCACGACAGAGCATTTGACGATGTTCAACCTGAAAAAGAAACCCGAAGATCTTATCTTCGCGGTTCCTGCTGAATGGCAGACTATCTTTTTGTCATCTAAGTCTGATAGACTTCCAATGATTCCAATACGACACTTAATCTGATTACGTACGATATACAATATGAGGAGAAATAGAGTTCGAGAATAGAATAAGTGAAAGCATAAATAATATCGAAGTGTCGATAAATTTTACATAATGCTGCAATTTAAAAGAGCGACGCATTCGTATCTAATAATACGCGACAATTTATCAATATACGGCCCTAAATCAACTTACAACTTGCAACCTTAAGATATCCTCAGGTAATGTATAATATCGTCGATATTTCAAGATTCTCAACGTCATTGTATAATATTGAATATTGACGATATCGTATCAACAATACATACTGATTTTTCTACTTGAGAACATTAAAATACAACAGTCCAAGAGGATATCGCTCTTGCATTTCAGTCAAAATCAGACTCTAATCGAACACTGCTGTATGTATACACTGCCAACTATATTTACCGATTGTAGAATTTTTCTCTCTCGTTACGTGGATTAATAAAGTTCGGTAGGATAAGATAAGATAAGGTAAAGTAAAGTAAAGCAAACAAAAGGTAAGATCTATAAACAAAAGAGGATCATCGAGTAAAATGGCGACCTGATACACAAGCGTCTAATCCCGGATGAGACGACGGATGTGACGGTGGCAGCAAAGGATGACGGTGACGAAGGTGGTAGCGGGAGGCGACGCAGACGCATCTCTCGGATTACGTCTTAACAAGCTCCACGACGTTCATTTGTCTTATCCGCTCTCGCTAATGCGACAGCAGCTGTTGAAATGATTAATTCACCACGAGGATGTTCCTACGCCTTATTCAGACTCGTACACGCGGTCGAGCTTGCGCTACCACTGCTACACTCCGACTTTCCATTATGATTCCCATCTCGATTAATCAACCGCCTTATCGTTACTATAAATACCATCGAATGTTTAATTAAACATCGTTCACCATGACGGTCGTTTGATATGAACGCGTCACACGTACTATATTTAGAATAGAGATAAAAGTAACATCGTGTACGTGTTCTTTGGGCGAAGAACGGTTCAAATTATAAAATGTCCTTTTGATTTAGATCGGCTAGAAAAATATATTTATAAATTTGTATATTACATTTAAAATCTAAAAGATGAAAATATGTACGTGGTACGTATCATCGGAGTAATATTTACGGTATTTTGTCGCGTGGTGGTTCCTCAACTCGGTTTCAAACGATCATTTCATTGCTTTACTTTTTGTGATACACTGACACGTTGACGAAAGTGTTCGAACACGTGTAAACAGCTCTTATGATTACATCTACCTCGTTATGTGTGCCGGGTTAGCGTTAAATGGTAGATAGCAACGCATACAATCATGACAATCATGTCTCGTTACAGTGCTGATAAAATTTTATAATATTTCGTGTAACATAGATGTAGTATGTAATACAATATGGCCATAAAAGTTTTCTATGGTAAGTATACAAATACCTTCATGACCGACGCTTTCATTATTGAGCTAGTGTACGTCAAAATATTTGTAGATCCTTCGTACTTTTTATCTTTCAAGTAGCTAGAGCTATATTACACAAGCTATTTATTATGAAATAACATCGGTGTTTCAAATAGATTGAAGGAGAAACGAAAATAGCACAATTATAAAACTTCAGTTGTCTCCAGTTTTGAAATGGTAAGAAGAGCAGTATGTACATTAAGAAACCTTATTACAACTGTTTATACTTTGTCAAAACAACGTTCGATCGTTGCGATCTGAATGGATTAACTTTCAATTTCCATAACTTATCTGTTGCGAAGGAAGACGAGGGATCGGTTATTGTTACCGATCGATGACTAATCCGCTCTGGAATCGTTAGTATTCGCTACGTAAGGGCGCTAACTGACTCGATTATGGTTCAGGGCCCGCGAGAACAAAGGACCACCAACGTGACAATTGAGCTTCATCGCGCTGATATAAAGTTACAGATGCGAAGGGAGAAAATGAGAGGCGAATATTAAGTCGGCATACAAAATGGCCGTCGCGAAGTGTGGAAAAAATAGGGATGCGTTAGCTCCTCTCGCTTCTGTGTACCACATGCTGGTTCACAGAATGCAATGCGCGTGGGGGACGAAAGACGTGACGCGCATGCGTCAACTACACGGATCGAAAGCTCCGCCCGGTGACTGCCTTTGTTTAATCCATGGTACCTACGCCCACGACATGTGGCCAACAAACTACGAATTTGTCTCTCGACGGGATCCTAATCTTGGATTGCAATACGCCACAGATGCTAAAAAGCATGACGTGAGTGGGAATTCGATGGCGCGAAATATGCCAGTAAGCTCAGGACATTTTTTGTCGTGCTAACCTCAATTAAGGTTAGATAATAATGTTTTATTTACACGTTCTACAGACGTTTATGAGTGTGTTGTTGTTCTTTTTTTAATAATAAAGAATATATATAATGATGAGAATGTACATTAAACGAAAAGGTAATAAGAAATTGTAATTACAGAGATTAGTAAATATGTAATAATTATGTATATATCGGGAATTTATAAGCTAGATTGAAACGAAGCATAAGGCTTTAGAAGACTCAAACATAAATTTAGATAAATTTACACTCGTATTATTTTACTTTTAATAAATATGGAAATATATGAAAAATATCGTACATATTAACTGCTTATAGCTATTTAATTCTGTAAGTTGAACGAAATTATTAGTTATAAAAAATTATTCGGCATGTGGTAGCGTGGCCGAGCGGTCTAAGGCGCTGGTTTAAGGCACCAGTCTCATCTGGGGCGTGGGTTCGAATCCCACCGCTGCCAAATTTTTTTTATATGTCAATAATTTAAAACATTTTTTAATTGCCAATAGAAAATATACATATTATAAAATTAACGCAGTTGAAATGAAAATAAAATAATAACCATAGTAGTTAATTGAGTCATTCTAACCAGATATATTAGAAATAACTTTAATATTAATAGTGAAAGTACTAGAATAATTGTATATTTATTATACAATTAATGTAGAATTACTATGTACGTATATAAATAAAATAATAGAGATAATAATAGAAGTTCTGCTTTACCGATAAATATATAGATATTATCTAGCATCAATAAGGAAGCAATCTGTAATAGCATTTACAGAAATGCTAAATTACAGACAGATATACAGTCATCGACCAAGAATAGGATAGACTTCTCATGTAATGTAAAAATGTGTCACACGATCCGAGGGCTACGTAGCTGCTCATGCCATTTTACTGTCACATACGACATTATCGATTCAGTATAAGATAAGATAACGGCACTATTGGAACAGTATGAATTACAATTAAATTAATGTTCGATATAATTACAGTAGAGAAGAAATTTTCCCTCTAATTACAATCGGAATCGATCTATGTTTTACATAAATCATTCAGTTTCACCTTAAATTCTTCACCTTCTAGGTTAGTATCCCATCCAATGTACAAATCACTGGAGATAACGTGCTTTTAATGTAATTCATTTTTCATTCAATTTTGTAGTTCATAGAAATTAATCATTGTATTATTAATTCTGAAGAACAATACCATTTTCATTTTCCATCCACTGCAGACTGCAGCAAAGTTTCGTCATTACTTGAAAGCATAATTAGCAGAAAGGAAGTATAAATGCAAATCAATCAGTAAATCAAAACATTGCTCATGTCGGAAATATGAAACTCTCTGTAAACAGAAATGCCCGTGCACCCTGGAAATCTGCAGCAGACGCAATGCATAAACATGTAACCTGGTAATTGAAATGAAAATATATGATGAAATGACAAAAGAAAATATTTTCTTCTGTCGTTTATTATCGTATAAAATTATTTTATGATCTAATATTGTTATGCAGTTAATTTTAACTGAACCCTGATATTTTATTAAAAAAATATGAATCTGAAAAGAAACTAAAGTAATTTAAATTATATTTTTATAACTTCATCTATATAATTATGTGTTACTAAAATCTTATTTTTTGTGTTCAAATAAGATGGTGATGTCAATTTCTACACTTTATGATCAAAATATTTTAGAAATTAACTCTAAAAAATTTTCTTTATTTTTTATTATTTCTTTATTTATTATAACAATTGTTTTATTTACATAAATTTTATGTTATGACCAACGAGGAACAACCTGAAGAGTCCAAAAAAGTCCATTTTTATAAAAAAAGTAATTCTGTAACTACTAACAGTGTGTTCAAAACCAGTTGAAATTGATTCAGAGTAGCTATGAAAAATTTAGCAGGTCTTTTAAATTAACATAAAAGATAGTAAGAGCAACCGAAGACAAAAGTTGATGAAGTAAAGTAGATGGAAATGGGAAACACAAGTATTTGCTGATTTTATGTTCTGTGCTATTTTTGTGTAGAAATAAACAAGGGACTTTGTTTGCTCAGATGCACACTCTGTACAAAAAGGTTCAAGATATATTTGATTAAATTAAATGAGATGGTAAGTATTGATATTGAAATATAAATTTCATTTTACAGACATTGTTATTGTAAAAAAATGGTCTAAGATATAAAAGTGAGTTATAACATTTATATACTATATATTTATTTATAATTCACAGTCATTTATGTAATATACATATTACTTTTGTATAGAAATGAGTATTCTATTCTTAGTCAATGGTTCATCTAAATCATTTCTGTTTTCCAATTTATTCAAAAGTGAAATAAATGTTTCCTTACAGATATTTTGTCATTATGAAACATGTATCTAAAACTTTATTTATCTTAGATAAGGAAAATTATAACAGTCGAATATTAACAAAATATAAACCACTTCTGATCCTACTAAACAATATATATGTACATATATTAGTTAATATTAGCCATCTTGTGAAACATATGATTAATTTCTTTGGATGTACTTTTGTTTTAACAAAATCAATATAAAAATGTTCATAGATTTCATTATCTATTATGAAAGAAAATGAAATCAAAGTAAACCTAATATGTACATATGTATTTAAAATCAGACTTAAAATAATTGTTTGACCGGAAAAATTTTAATAAATAATATTTTAGAGAAATATATTTAATATTATAAGATAATTTTGTACGATCGCGTATTTTAGACATTGTATTACTGTAATATCTGACAAAACATTAAAGTGCAAACTCATAGCTTTTCGTAAATATGTCACGTAAGCATTTTTAGAAGATATAATTTCTAGGAACATTTGATTGTAGGCTTTAGTAAAATTCATTTTGACGTTGAACACAGATCCGATAAGGAGTTATACTTCGCTTCTCATGATGACCTCTACTCTCATCTATATGGAGATGAAAACTTTCGTCAGTAATACATTGTCAACTTCACTGAAAGCGCGGAATTTTATGTATGACTAACGTCATAAACGATATCGATTTATATCTTTAAATTAAACTTAAGAATTATTTGATTATCTTCTTCGGTTTGACTAGCACAACACATATATTTTTAAAACGTACATTTGTACGTAAATATGTATACACACATATATACAAAAATTTAAAAGCCAAATCTGTTTTAGTGCATAATTGGAATAAAATTAACACGTACAAATTAAAAAAAAATTTTCTACGTATATTATTAATCATTATTATTAATAATCATGATTACAAATGATAAAATTGTTTATCTATCAGTTTTTGAGATAATTAAATTACATTTTCTCTCTTTTGTGTATGGCTTATATTTAATAGTGAAAAGATTTCCTAAGTGGGTCTGGGATCCTAAGAAGTTTTTTATGATGCAACAGCGAGATAAACCTCCACCTTGTCTTGTGGACAATAATTTAGGAACTCATTCTTACGTAAAAATCAAGGTAATTATGTATATAATTATAAAGTCTATTATAATCTAATAGGGTAACTACATAACGTAAAATCGAATTTCGATTGTAAACGTTCAAAAGTGTATTATGGTCGACCTCTGATAACACTTGACAATCTAATAGTCTGATGCACATCCGATTTTGATTGATAGATACGATTATAATACATATATTTTTAACGGATGTCGAAAACAGCTGTGTCAATTTCTTTTAGAACACAGTCCAATTTATCTCGTATCAATCTTTTTCTTATCGTTGTTTGTTTTTATTTATCATTAATTTTTTTATTGCTCACATCTATACATGAAAACTTAAAACTTCTTCTTGTCAAACGAAATGCATCTATTTCTAATTTAATAATACTAAAATATCTTTAAATAGTAATAATTGATTGAATAATAAAATAATAGAAAGATAGGAAGCAATAGAAACAAGAATTTGTTCTAAGAGGAAAATTTTCATTTCTTTTACAGGGTGTAAAGTTCCATTATGTAGAAGCTGGAAATAAAAATGATCCACTTATATTACTTTTACATGGATTTCCTGATTGTTGGTTATCTTGGAGAAAACAAATACCATGTCTTACTCAACATTATAGGTTTAAAATTCATTCTTTTTAATATTTTAATAAAATCATAAGATTACTTTTTTTATATTAATTATGTCTTTATTCATCCAGAGTAATAGCAATAGATTTGAAGGGGTTTGGAGATAGTGATAAACCAGCAGCTAAAAGTTGTTACAGAATACAAGTACTAATTGAGGAATTGAAACAATTTATTTTAACTCTTGGAGTAAAGCAATGCAGTATAATCGGTCATGATTTAGGAGGACTTTTAGGATGGTATATGGTAGCCCTATATGGGGACATGATTCATAAATTTGTTGCAATTTCATGCCCACATCCTAATTTGTATTGGAATGGGAGACCTGGAGATTCTATTTTTGATTTAAAGTAAATCTATTATATCTATAAGTTTTCTAACGTATTTTATTTCTAAGATATATATGTTCATTTTTTTACGTTAATGTTTAGATGGATACATTTCAGTAGATTACCATTTTTGCCTGAAATTGATGCTCTTAAAGAAGACTTATCAATAATAAATGATGCATTTCAACATCTTCAACTGAATAATGCAAACAATGAGAAGGATTATGTAGAAGCATATAAATATGCATTTAGTAGGAAAGGTAAATAAACTCAAAAAAATTTAAATAATGCCTGTTATGTGTATATAAAAGATGACAAAATTAAAATGGTTAATTACAGAGGACTGGACAGGTGCAATCAATTATTATAGAAACCTTCCTTTAATAAGACTTAATACAGATACTCGTGATCAAATTTCTACTCGAACCTTGCTTATAATTGGAAATATGGATCCAATTGTAACGATAGAAAGTGTTGTACAAAGTTCTGAATATGTTGAGAAATTTAATGTGAAAGTAATCTCTGAAGCTCAACATTTTCCACACCAACAAAAACCAGATACAGTAAATGAAGCAATCTTGAAGTTTTTTATGGGTAAGTCATTTTATAAACTTTTGCAAATACTAAGTTATGCAATGAATAAATCGTGTTCTAGGTGCGATAAATCATGTAGAAAAACCATCATCCAAAAACATTATGTCTTCATGGTTTGGATCTCTTGGTAATACTGTCAAGTATGGTAACCATATGTTTGATGCTGTCCATAAAAAGACCAGTGGAGTAGTTAGTGCTTTACCCAGTAAAGTATTTTATTTAGGTCAAACTACAAATTGAATTATATTTTTATCTATATTAAAATATAGGACTTATCAGAGCCTGAATTTTTCTACTTTCTTTATTTAAGTTTTAGGCTCTCAGTGCAACAAAAAATATCTAGTTACTTTTCATCACAAAACAGAAAAGACTACAAAATATGTTGCCATATATATAATAATTAAATGTTTTTATAGCTTAACTATAGCATTACATATATACTATAATTTAATTACTACAGAACAACTCAAATGAACCTCTTTATCTTAATGACTGTCTGTATCAACAAATGTAAAAAAGGCTGATTTATTTTAACATGTTTTGTCTAATATTATTTACATTTTAACGAATGAGATAGTTTTAAGTAAAAAATTTTATCACTTTTTTAATAAACATGTATACATATTTTTTTCATTTAATAACGTAAATATACATATATATACATAAATTTTAAATATAGTATTAGATAACATGAAAAATCTGTTTTTTCATAAAGTAAGTGTATATTATAAAGCTAGTATAAAAAGATATATTCAGACATTCACATTATATTAAATACTATATTAATAATTGTTAAAATTATTTTTGATAAAATATTTATATATTTACTAAAATAATTTAATATAATGTAAAGAATAAATTAAATTGTTAATTATAAAGCATTATATATTTATTATAATAAAAAAAAGTATATATATACAGTTACAGTTTTTAATATAAAATTTGTAAATTTATTGTTTTAAGAGGCAGGATCTGTTTCATTATCTTATTGTGGGCTTCCCTCTTATTGTTAATTTTAAATAAATATTATTTTGTCGCAGCTTTTTTAGTCTGTTTTCTGTAATAACGATCGAAATTTGTAATAGCTATTTAAAAATAAAGAAATTAATACATATTATTTAAAATCATTTTACTTTATACCAGAGAATTTCCTCTCTGTATATACTTACTTCCCAAAATTTTCACCATCTTCAATAGTTTCTGGTAATTCACAGTTCATTGTTTCTGGTAATAGAAAACATAATAAAGCACCAAGTAATGGTCCAGTTCCAAATATTAATGGTGGTAACCATGGTGCAACTTTTCCCTAAATATACATACAATTCAATAAAGAGTTATTATACTACAGTCATAAAATACATATGGATTAAGCATATAATATGAAAAAAAAATATTACCATTGTTGCAATATATGGAGCAATCATACTCCCAACCCTTGCACAAACACTTCCTAAACCAACACCAACATTTCTAATTACAGTTGGAAATACCTCACTGCTATACAGATATATTGTTGGAAAACTAAGTGACATTCCTGCAAGACCTAATGTAGCCAAAAGTACTGTGAAATTTGAATTTGATATCACAGCTAGTAATAGCAAACTTGCAGCAGATAGAAGATTTCCACTTATTAGAATTCTTAAACGTGATACACGTGATATTAAAAATAAAACTACTATAGTTCCAGGCAGTTCAACAGCAGCTGAAAATATTATATCAAATTTTAAATATGTATCTTTGTTGAATGAAAATAGGTATTATATAGACTTACCTGATACAGCAACATTTACAAAAATGTTACCATCAATATAACCCATATACTGTGCTAATCCAAAAAAGCAAGTACCACACACAAACCAATTAAAACATACACAAATAGTTTTTAATCTTAAATTGGGAGTTCTAAACAAGTGTGTTATATTATATTTTTCTTTGCTTTGCTTATGACGAAATCCAATATTGCTTTCATATGTTTCAATTGCTATTTTAACATTTTCTATTGGTATTTTATTTCTGCCAGCTGCTTTGACTAAAATTTGTTCTGCTTTCGATAGCTTGCCAACAGCAAGTAACCACCTTGGTGATTCAGGTATAATCCTACAATATATAAAAATGTGTTTAAACTCTATTCCAACTTAATGACACATAAATGTTTAATATTAATAATGTTCCTAAATTAATATCGTTAGTGTTCAATGATTAATATTACGTACCAATAATATGATAATAAAAAAAGGGATGGTATGGAAACTGCCATTTGAAAACCATCCCACGTATGTGTTAAATATGAAATTAAAGGATTCATTAGGTGACCCAGTAAGAATGGCACATGGAAAAGGACTGACATAATTGAACGCCATTCTATTCCTACAATCTCCATAACTATAATTTATTACGTATTAAATTATATTCTTTCATAAATCTATATATTATGTTACTTATATAATTTATCAGTTATACTTACGTAAAACAAAACTAACAAGCATAGTACCACCTGTAGCTACAGCAGAAATAAATTTAAATATCACAAATAATTCAAACCACGGAACAAATGCACTTATAAATCCAGTTAACGATTGTAATCCTATGGCAATCATCAAAGGCTTTTTTCTACCAATTCTGAAAAAGGAACAAAGATTATTTTTATTATTTATGCTTTTTATTACATCGTAATAATATTTAGCATACCGATCGGCCATTATACTGAATACTAAGTTACCAATAAGAACTCCAAACATTATACAAGATTGTACAAAATTTGCTAATTGTTCTCTATCACAGACCAGGTCCCACTGAAAATAATTATGTGCAGTAATTTGTAAACTCATTTCTTGGAAGTACGATAATAAATTGAAAGTTCAATTTACTTGAGTTATTATACTCTCTTTAAATGTGCGCCTATCATATTTAAAACTTGTACACTTCTCCATTGTACCATTCCCTACATCTATATAACATTTCATTATTGTGGATACATTAGTGGCTGAGATTGGAGCAGCACATGTAAAATTAGTTGGAGGTGCAAGAAATACAATGGAAAGTTGATGCCAAGCAACCGGAAATTTTACAAGAGACAATGCCACAGCAATAACAATGTGCCATGGGCCCATCACACCCATAGCATTTTGTATAACATCTAATGGTGCATGTTCTGAAACAGAGCATTCTTAATTATCAATTATTACATGTAAATAATTCTACATCTTAGTACATAATTCCATAATAATAAAATTGAAATTAGAATGATAACAATTAAATTAGATTGAAATAAAAGAAATACTACTATCATACATATGTAAGTGCACACGTATAATTTAAATTATGATTGCCGCCAATCATTTCTACATTATCGACGGATGGAAAATATTAATACTTTTGCGTTATATATAATGTCTATGGTAAAACTAGTATTTATTTTTAACTCATGTATATACATATTTATTAATTTTTACTACGAGACTCAATAATATTAATGAAAAACTGATATTATTAATAACGTTAAAAGCGTTACTACATGTAAAAGTTATTAACAAGTATAAAACAATTTGCAAACATATTACAAAACTACAGAAAAGCTATCGTAACTTATCATTATTAAACACACTTATAACTGAATAATTGTAACATACAACTTTCCAAGTATAATAACGATATTTATATGACATATATATTACTCAGGTTACAGCAACCTGAGTAATATAATATTTGAAATCCGAGAAAAATTTATCCGAGTTAGTAACATATTTATCGAAGTACAGTGTCTAATTATATCGTAAGTAAATATTATTTTTATACAGTAATATTAAAACGTTATAATCTTTAGAAAATCATGACAGAAATATATATATGTACATTTAAATTTCTAATACGCAAATTACGTACGCGTCTAAAATAAAATTCAAAAGGATTTGATTAAATATGTATAAATAGATAGAAGGAAAATAACAGCAAATTTTATGAATATATTGTTAAATATTTGCAATTCAAAAAAATTCTTTTTTAATTCTTTTTTTTCTAATCACGTCGATTCTAATGTATTCCGAAGTATGTATTATTTGTAAATTAGTCAAGTAAGTCTTTACATAAAAATAATTCGTGTCATTAAGAAATAAAATTCTATCTGTTAATAAATACGTATTTTTCCTATTCTAATATATTTCGATCAGTTTGAAGATTTAGAAATCTGTTTAATTGCATAAAAAATATATAACTAGTAGCATAGGTCATTTATTAATAGATCATTGATAAAGCATTTCAAAACAAACAGAATTTTTATATTAACTGCATTCCTATAATTTATACGTTATGCTTCTAAATTTCCATACAAAAAATATTAAAATGCAGAATGTTGAAATTTAATTGAACGGTTGAAGATTAAAATTGAAATTTTCATGTAGTGATAAATGTATCATTTCTTAACAAATTTTTATCCTTTTTATTTTCTCAACAAAGAAATGTTATCTTTCGATTTCTAAATTATATTTTCTAGGGTAAAAAACATATATTTTATTTTATTTAGATAAACAAATGACAAGTACATATCACAGAAAAGATTTTAGTTTATCAAAATCTAGAACATTAAAGAATTTCGCTGTGATTTTAAAACCCATATATTTCATTATTAATTATTATTCATAAGTGGAAACTGTAAAAAGGAAAAAGATATTCGCTCTTTGGAATTAAGTAAGTAAATCTCTATATTTCTCTATATTACGATATTAGATTATATGAATAAAACATATGTCCAAAAATTGTCTCTGATTACTGATTTTTTATCTTTGTAGATTCGGCATAATTAATTTTTCAAGTACACATGTCGATGATGTAATTGCAGACGTGCGGATTATACCACAAAATTGAATGTATATTTAGACTCATGTTGTGTTTCAAATGTTAACAGGAATAAATATAGTAGATGTAACCGTGCTAAATATATATATTGCCTTACCTTTTATCGCTTTTTCAAGCATTGTATTTTAAAATTTCTGTCAATTTTATGTTAAAATTCTATTTCAATTTATACAATTACTATCTACACAATACCACGCGTGTCTAAATGTTTGAAAGCCTCAACTTTTGTTGAGTGGCTGAGGCAAACTGAAAGAGCCTAGACCCTGTTCTTTATCTGTTTTATCGATGTAGATCACAAGCAAAGCTATCAAGTTAATAAATATCTACCTTATCGATACTTTTGATCGTTATGTTATCACCATACCTCTGTATTGTATCTAACAGTAAGTAATGATTGTAATGATTACTACAATGATTGGGGTTAGGTTAATCTAACATTGTACTACAAATATTAGTAGATATAAATAAATAAGCTCTTTTTAAAACAGAATATTTTTACGTTCATTTTGTATAACATAATAAAAAATATTGATGGAAGATAATAAATATTAATTGTATAAAATTATAAAATTATATTTTTTTACATTTTACATTTAAAACAAATTATAATTTTTTACATTTTAAATAGGTATTCATTTGTCAAATGCAAACGAGCTAAGTATTTTACTTGAGGAACGTTTTGGTTCGTTATGTTGTTCATTCTCCAGACTTAATTTTCTTTTTTTCGATTCCGAGGTCTCCGAAGTATTATTGTTTTGTGAACCTGTACTCTCTTCTTTGTATCTTGCCAAGGCAGTTTTTGTTAAATCTGCAGCACTCAACTCGGGAAATTCCTCCTGCAAACTTTTTTTATTTCTAGCATACCAACTGATAAACGTTTCTTTCTTTGGTCCATCTTTTGCCTCTTTTGTTTTCGACTTTAAAGGTATAGGTGTTAGTGCTGTTAACTTCTGTGGTTTTTCTGGAGTTATTTCTAACCCAGCTAATCCTATTTTACATTAAAAATAAAATTTGAAAATATAATTAAACTAAGATAACTCTCCCCATTTCACCCCCCATTTTAGTAATAATACCTTTCGTCGCCGGAGAATTTCCACTTTTTAAAAAAGGATTACTTCTTCTTATTGATAATGATTCAGTCATAGATAACGGTTTAATTTCTATATCTGGCTTTTTCGTAATAGTTAATGAAGGTGTGGGCTCTTCAATATCATTATTCGATTCTTCATCGTCACTTTTATTGACATTTTCATCATTGTTGTCATTATTTTCTATGTCCTCCTTCTTTTCTTCTACCTTTATATCAGCAATCGACTCCAATTTATTGGATAAAGCTATTCGATTTATTCTTCGTGCATATTTAATTGCCAATTCTATAACTTTTTCTGAAGCGATTTGTTCGCATAATTCTACCGCTCGATACTCCAAATTACTTCGGCAAGCAAGCTAATTAAATAAAATTAATAAATACGTAGAAAGATACATCAATAATATATAAATTTAATAAACCACAAATATTAAATTTACCGCAATAAGAGACAGCACTGCTTCGTTCTCTTCTGGAGGACTGGTTCCTAACTTCCATAATTTTAGTTCTTTTTCCGTTTTCTCAGTTTCAGGTTCACAAAGCGGCAGACGTAACGATACTTCTGTTATTACTGGGCGAGGTGTAGTTGGCGGATAATGACTTCCCTTGCATAAAATGCAACGAGCGATACTTTGTTGTTCGTTTATCCCAATTATAAAATAATGATCTGCTTTACCCTTAGACTGTTCCAAATTTATTAATGTAATATAACGGATGTAATGTAGTGAAATATATTTCTTACTTGTTCACTCATATCACTGGCCACTTTCCATAAAGAAGACTTTTTATTATATACTCTTATAACATCATCAGCATCCATTGTTACGGGGGATCCAAAATCGGTAATTCCTAACCACATTAATTCTGATGATGATGACAAAGGGAGACATAGTGTTCGACTAATTAAATTTACTCCCCGAATTTGAATTGACAGTAAATTCATACACTGATCTCCTGACGCCCCTATTTAAATATCTCATTTTTTAACAAAAACTTGTTAAAAAATAAAAAGTAAAAATGATCAAAATACCTGTTCCAGTATGATAAGCAAGTACTAAATTATTTTTCAGTCCATTCATTGCTACTACAGGACCCGGCAGAGCTACAATTTCACGCTGGGTGCCTCCTACAGTAAAAATTCTTAAATGTCTCCTGGATGTTGCAAGTGCTACAAAATTATCACCAGCTGCAATACAATGTCCTTCTTCATCTTCAGGAAGATCTAATGACCATTCTTTATTTCCAGAACCCCAACCTATTTTTCATTTAATTATACTTTTTAAATAAATTGAATAAATCTGGTTCAAGCAATAATTATGTATAGTATTAACCTTGTAATGCTATTACAACAAGTTTGCTTCGTGTATCACTACTTGATGGACAATTTAATGCAAATGCTTCTGGTGATAAAGCAGCTATTGTGTGTCTTAAGTAATTATTGATATGCATACTACGATGTACTGCCGCATCATGAAATTCTACTTCAATACTAGATTCGTCTCCATCTTCAGATGTAAAGCATCTTACCATACCCGTATCATTCCACACCTATATATTATGAAAACTAACATTTTAATATATGTATGTATATATTTGTACATATATAATGATTCATATTAAAATTTACAAAAAATTTTACCATAAATCGAGATAACAAATGTACTGGTGATGAACCAGGTTGAAATGGTGGTTGTAAATGAATTTCAGGTATAAAAACATTTGCACCATGTTGTGATTTTTCAGAATCTACTACATCAGAATGACTTTTTTGGTCATCTTCAAGTTCTATTGATGCTTTAATTTTGTTTAAAGATATAACATTTTCGCCGTCATCATCGTCATCATCATCTTCTGGAATATCAACATTACTATCTTCGACATCTCCATTTGTTTCTAAAGGTAATTCATTACTTGTTGTTCTATTGGGAATTATCTAAACATATAAAAATGATATATTTATTTTTAAAGTTTTAAAAATAATATATATGTTTTACATATATGTACCTACAACATCAATACATCCCAATTGGCCTAAAGAGTCACAGAATGCAATTTCATCTGATTTATCAATATTCCAAGATAATGCAGTAATTTTAGCATTCTGTTGATGCCCAATATAGCCAATTAATTCTTTACTTTTTACATCCCAAACAACTATTTCTCCTTGTACTGAACTAGCAGCTAATAACGTGCCACATTCGGAAAACTTACATATATTAATTTCCTTAAATGAAGATAATAATATAATAGAATACATATTATATTAAATAAAATATTTAGATAAAAAACAGCATACAGTTTTCATATTAATACATTTTAAACGGAACAATTCCTTCCAAGAAGATCTTTCAACTATAACTACATCTTTTGCACAAGGATATGCAAGGTAACTTCCATCCTTAGGATGAAATGAAGGCACATTATACATTTTAGCTGTAAAAAATGAATTACATTTGGGCACAACATTGGCCCAAATATTTGCAACACGTTTTTCTTTAATATTCCATACTCGTATTGTACCATCTGCACTTGATGATGCCTACATAAATCAAATATTATAAAAGGTATCATTACATAAAAACAGAAAACACATCGAGTATATATTTTACCACAAACTCTTCTTTTGGATCCAAAGACAAACCTAGTATAGGAGCTTCATGACCTATTAGTTCTATGTTATCTGATGTATTAATATCCGTAACTTGTATTCTCATATCACTACAATGTAATATGTATTAAATATATATTAATTAAAAATTATTAAAATGCTTTATGCATATTTTACATACCACCCTCCTGAGACTATAATATTACTATTTTTTGTCGTTGCTAATGCTGAAACAGGTGCTGAAAATCTAGTAACTATTCCTTCTTTTTCAAGATCTGGATAACTAAGAACTTGAATTGTATTATTATCATTGCCAACAAATATTTTTCCATTCTGAAATCATTGAAAGATTTTTTAAAAAATTATGAATATCAGTAAGTATATAAAAATAGATTTCATAATTAATATTTTCATTTAATATTTCTACCTTTGATACAACTGATATAGCTTGTTCTGAGACACAACATGCACTTGGATCATCATCCATTAGATTTAACCAGGATCGAACATCTCCATCAGATCCACAAGTAACAAGCCCTCCTCTAAAAATATAAATATTATTTTTCTAATTACATGTTTTCTTGTATTCTTAAAAGATTGCTTTGAATGCATTGAGCTTTCCTTTAATGTTTCCTTTTATATCACTAAAAAGTTCTAAACAAAGGAAATAGTTAAAAAATGTGCAAAAATTGCAAACATACTTATGTAATAAAATATATTTATATTAAAAGTGTTAGCAAAAAATATCATAAAGTGTATGAAAAAATGTTGATTAGTATTTATATCTTTACTTACTTTTCACCAGTAAAATAACAAACATCTGTGTGTCCCTCTGGATGTGCATAACGCATAGGTTTTTTTATTAATGGCATTTTTCAATAGATTAATTAATAACTTTACATATAGTTGAATATAATATATTAACTAACTTTCTAAAATCTTTCATTAGAAAATTGTGATCCTCTACACCCGTATTTTGGCGCGCATTCTCCAACTGTACACGTTGTACCTCTTTGATTAGAAATTTTACAAATGTAAATTTAAATATTATTTACATTAATCACTTACATTAACCTTACACTAATATTACTTTACTTAATTTAATTTAATATATATACAAAATAATATGTAAAGCTAGAATAAAGGCTGGTGAAGGTTTTCATAGGAAGTATTTATGGACTTAGGGAATTTTTTTATATTAATGTATCAGTCTGGAACCTATGTTAAGATGCTGTTTCTGCAGCTAAATTCTATACGTTTGATAGCAGACGCAGCCTTTTCTAGACTGGCCTATGTTCAGCAAGGAGTTTGTAAATTTCGTCATTGTAAGATATAAATTTCTCTATTAGGATGACCATGATTTCAAAGGCTGCAGTGGGTATTGCTGTTGGCATAGCTGGAATTTTTGTTGGATATTGCTTTTATTTCGATCAAAAGCGTCGTAGTGATCCAGATTTCAAAAAGAAATTGCGTGAACGTAAGTCAAGCTATTAGGTAGTTTTTCCAAACCATGTGATACATAGCTTATTCATGCTATTTATGATTCTGTATAAAAAACACTTGTAATATTTGTCAATTATTTTAATGACATAATAATAAATTCATAAAGATAATTCATTATTTTCAGAAAATTATATTTTTTTATTTTATTAAATTTCATATCATTGTTAATATTTTAGAGTCTCTTATCAATATACTTTAAGATTTGGAAATAGTATTTCAATATATAAATTACTTGGTATATTGGTATTATATATACTAGATATATAAAGCTTAATATTATTATTTCATGCTTGTAGGTAGAAAAGCAAAGAAACAAGCCCAGAGTTCTACTTCAAAAATACAAGATTTGAAAGACCATGAAGTAGTACAAAGATTTTTCTTACAAGAGGTAATATTATATTTGTTAACTGTTTATCAAATATTAGACGATTAGTTTTCTTTTATTATATTACCATAATATGTTTTAAAGGTCCAACTAGGAGAAGAAATGCTTACTTGTGGTGATGTAGAAGGAGGAATTGAACACTTAGGAAATGCAGTTGCAGTTTGTGGACAACCTGCACAGTTGTTACAAGTTCTTCAAAAGACACTGCCACCACAAATTTTTCACCTTTTATTACAACGATTACAACCTATTAGTCAGGTATGCAACAAAACTAATCTTTTAATAGGGACAATGAAAGGGGAAAATTTGGTTTCTCACTTATTGTTACAGAAACTATCAACTCAAATTGCAATGGCTGAGGAAGATGTTGAGTGAAATACTATACAAATTGCGTTGAATATTCCAAAAAATAAAATCAAACCATTAGTAGAAAGTGTATGTTTTTTTGCTGAAGTAGACATTTGTGTGTCTTTAATCTGGTCAAGCTTTTTAATTATATGTTTTGTTCTCCTTAACTAAACTTCCATATTCCTCAATTGTATATTATTAACTAAAAACGTGATTACTTATATGCATTTAAATTATAAATGGAAGAAATTCTTGTATTCATTTCTAAATACAATCTCTATTTAAAAATTTTCATTAGCTATTTTTAAAATTGTGACTGCCACAATAATGATTTATAGTGTGCAGACCAAGTATGTATTAATTAAAATGGCAGAAGATACGTATATATATCACACAGACTCTAGAAAGATCTCTAGTCACACAAGATTTTCTTTATACGATATGAATATAATAAATTGTTCATATTTGTTAAATGTTTCACAATTTTAAGAGTGAGCAGAAGTATAAAAGTAATTAAGGAGTGCATTGATCTTATTATAAAAGCTAATATAATTAGTGCTATAGAAGTTTCAGAATAATTTTATGTATTGGTTGTTGTAACATGTTGAAATATTATACTCCCTTAAAAAGGAATTCATGTGAAATGTGATCCTAAATAACATGTTATTTCCTAGAAGCATTTACAAATGGCTAAAAGAATACTATTATGACTATATATTCATAATGAATATATTTTATAAAATTTGCACAAATTTATCCAAATATATATTCTACCTTGTGAATATAAAATTAATATCCTTGTAATAGATGTATCATTATAAGCATATGTACATGACATTATTTTCAACGGTACTCACTAGCATACTAAACACTTTATAATTATTTTTTGTATAAAAAAATGTTCTATTCTTATAAAGTAAAGGCAATAATAAGAAAGAATCTGTTTATATCTTAGTATTTAGCAAAAACTGTTTTTCTTAAAAAACTGTATCATGCGGAATTAAATAAATGTTATTAATAAAAAAAGGAATACGTTCAGTAATACCTTCTGCATTAAAAAATTTTAATGAATATAATGTAATTTATGTAATTATTTAAAAAGAGAGATGGAATATCAAAATTAAGATTTGAAAGTATTTTTTATAAAGAAATTATCAAACATATTTTTTTTTAATAAAACAAAATATAATATAATATGTTATGTCCTTTAATTCCCCTCAACATAACTACATTATACAATGTTTTACAAATATTATTTCTATTAACTATAGAGTTATCTGATCAGTCACTACCGCTATACAGTTAGCTCCCAATCAATATACAAATGTACAATTTCGTCTCTCAGACAGCAAAATGAATGAACACATGCCCTTGATATAACGGATAAAAGTAAAAGGAAGCAAAAAAAATATCAAAACAGTGCCCACAGTAAGAATAAAAAACGAGAAATACATATGTATAGGTGTAATGATCAAATGTTTGAATCGAGATAAATCGTCTTACAATGCTTTGCAATGATAAATTAACTCGTTATCATCGTTATAATCATTTAACAAATTAAAATATGAACGCTAGATTTTTAGATATTTTAGATATTTTTCATGATATAATATTCTGTAAACATATTTCATCCTAATACCTATGTTAATATAATTAGTTTTCTTGATAATGATATTTGTATTAAAAAAATAGGCAATATTTACATGTATATATAAAGTTTCCAAATATAGCTCCTTTGTATTTATAACTTTATTTCAACATGTTAAATGGTGCATATTATTATAAATAATGCAGTAACATTTTGCATAATTTGAAAATTATAATACGGCAGTGTATAGCTTTTACTTAAATTGTATTTAATATTATAATCAGTTCTGTACAATTCTTTTTACATTTACAAAGCGACAAACGAGATACAATTTGAGCAATTAAATATAGTTATCACAATGAACATTGTGAAATATATGATATATGATAAACCTTCTTAATCATTTTAAATTATGATAAAGTGTACAATAATATACTATGAAACTTTTATAAGTTAGGTTTTATATCTTTCTAAATTAATGGAATATCAGAATTAAAATTTTTGAATTCCGTACTTTTTTAATTTGTTTTCATCATCAAGAAAAACTAATTTTTATATCGCAGTTTAGGAGCGCTACTTTGAGTTTAAAATTTCATTCCTTGCTTCCGCCATAACATCCAGAGCGTTTTTTTGTATAAGAATTTTCCCAAGATCTTTACCGAGCTCTTCAGCACCCAAAAGACTTAAATTGCTTACTTTACCAGGTGCAACACTACAGTACAGTTTTGGTTCTCGATATGGACATTTTCTATCATGCAACAAATGAAAATTTTATGAATAACATATATATTCATTATAATATAATCTATTTAACTTATTTGCTTACTTTGAAGGTTCTCCATCATCATCAGGTATATAAAGCTTACTTTCAGAAGTACATTTGACAATTTTCTGCCCATCTAAAGACCACACAGCACCAGTAAGCATAAGAGTTTTGTCTTTTAAATTTGAAGAAACAGCAACTGGTGCTGAACATCCACCACCTAATGTCTTTAGAAAAGAACGTTCACATACACATCTTAAAGTTGTTTCCACATCATATAATGGCTCTAAAAGAGACAATATTTTCCAATCTGTCTCTCGACATTCAACCCCTAATGCACCTTGTCCAACAGCATACAATGCTTCTTCTGGTTCCAGTATCTATCAGAATAAAATGTAATAAAAAATGCAAAAATTTTTATTATGAAATTATTATAATTTCAATATATAATGAAAAATAAAATTATTATAATTTCATACAAAACTGTAGTAAAACTCACCTGATTTATTCTATTCTCCCAATTCAACCTTTTTAAACCAGCAACTGCCAAAATAATTGCTGCAAAAGGTCCATTTTCATCATCTAGTTTTCTTAATCTAGTATTTAAATTGCCACGAATATTTTCCACTTTTAAGTGTGGCATATTTCTAGCTAACTGGGCTGTTCTACGCAATGAACTAGTACCAATCACACTACCTTTTGGTAAAGTAGATAATGTTTCATTTTTGTACTTCTTAGACATAACAACTGCATCACGTGGATCTTCACGTCTATAAAAATATTTACTTAAAATTTCAAAACCTTTACTTTATCGAATATAAACTTAATGAAATGTATAAAATATACACAGTAAAATTATAAGATTATAAATTATAAGAGTATTTTGAAAACATATTATATATTGTCAGATATTATAGTAACATTTTTTGCCATTAAACATAAACACAAGAAAGAGATATTAAAGTTAAATAATATATATGAAAGTGCTCCACTTAATAAAATTTAACCAGAATGATCTACATAGACTATAGACAATACGTATTTTACATATGTAGTACGTGCCTTTCATGAATATGATAATTTTATTACAAATTTAAATTCTAAATAAACCACCATTTTGAAGTAGCAGAACATGAATAGAATATTACATTTGCTTGCAATATCATTAACTTTATTTTATACTCACTTTAATATGGCACCTAATGCCATTCCTTCTGGTAATGATGTTGGTAAATCTTTTAATGAATGTACCACAAAATCAACACGACCACTTTCAAGGGCAAGTTCTAATTCCTCTGTAAATAAAGATTTTTCCCCAATTTTAGGTAAAGATTTATCTAAGATTTTATCTCCTTTGGTCACCATTGTAACTGTAAATAAAATGTACAGTTTGTCATTCGAAAGTTCATTAAAAAATTCCATAGAAACAAATTATCTACAGATAAATACATATACAAAAAGTCATATAGGTATTTCTTATATAAGTTTGTATATAATGTTTACTATGATTTATATATTATATAAGAGTTTTAATCTTAATGTGTATGTGTGTATGTCTGTGTATGTGCGTAGTGATTATTTATTAACAATGACAATATAAAAACATTTAAAAACATATATATACATGCTACGTATATTATAATAAATAAATGTTTAATAAATTATTAATAAACAAATTTTAGAATTTTAAATAAATAAAAATTTGTATATATAATTTTACTTACTTATTTTAAATTCTTTTGTTGGATGATATTCTTTTAAACATTCTATTACATATTTTGTTTGTTTCAAAGCCAACTGAAATAATTATAATGATATTTAAAATTTAGTATAAAATATGCAGTTATACTTGTACTATATATATTTGATAAGGCATACTGCATACTACAGATTCAAAATACATAGTATGAAATAAATACTAAATATTTTCCAATACATAAAGCATCAGGATACAATATTAAAAACTGCTGACTAATGTACATTCAAGAACAATAATTATCTTATGACATGTTATAAATCATATATTATGTCATTTGTGTGTCAAGTATAATTTATAACTTTTTAAAATGGATGAGAAGAGCTATTTTAAGATAAAGCTATGGAAAGAATATTGTTTTTTATCCTTTTTACATTCTGAAGAATAATAACAGAGCGTATTTATCTAATTATTATTATTATTTCCAACCATATAAAATTTTGCAAATTACAGCAGTAATTAATGGCAAGCTATAAGAATTAACAAAATCATACTTTTTTCTTTTCTTATAAAAAATTAACGTATTTCTACATTTACCTCGCTTTTCCGAGACCCAACTCGGATTACGTCACGTGCGTCCGCATTCGTCATTATGGCAACTCAAATTTCTGTTCTTTTCGTATGTTAATTACCATATAATATTATTAACAATAATTATTATATAACAAGCTTATTTTATTTTGGAATGTTGCAAATGTACATTTATGCCCAAGGGACATAAGAAATTGAATTAGGTCAAAGATACGAACAACTTTCACTATACTTGCAAGTAATGTCTGACGCGGACATATAGCAACTTTAATATTTAAAAGAAAGAGTTGTATATTTCAGAATTCTCATGGCTATTACGTAAATGTTTGGAGTTTATTTCACAGTTACTGACACTGCAGCAGAAGGTGAATATAATTAAAAATATATATATGGAAGAAACTACATCCTTATGCACGTCATACTTCTACTACATAAAGACACTACAGAATGTGAATAATATGACTTAAGTGGAAGCGACGATACACGACCGACAACTGACAATGAGTAGAAGCAGTGTTACCAGATTCGAGTTAGGTTTGGGTTAGGTTCGGGTTAGGTTCGGGTTAGGTTCGGGTTAGGTTCGGGTTAAGTGTGGAAGTGGAATCCATTTATCAATAGTAGTGTAGAATCGTGAAGTAGAATGCTTCTTAATGCGTATAACAAATGTAACATTCGATAAAGATAGCGCAATATTTGAAAAGTTTATTTCATAAAATTAAATATTTTGACTTTTAAATAAAAATATTTTTAATTTACATTTTTATTTCTGATATGTATTTATGAAAGATTAACCGGAAATCACAACACTGTTTTGGTAAATAGCATTATATATTTTACGAATTTTAATTCATAATATTTAAAAAATAAATTTAGTTTACATGTAAAAACAAACATATATACATAATTAGGTACATTGATAAAATTTTAATTAACGATATATATGTATACATAATTATATACATGTATATATGAAAATTAGAAATAAATATTTTATATATAACATAATTGCACTTTTCTATATAGTTTTAATAAATATAAAACATAATTTCACAAAGTATTTATCATTATGTACAATATTAATATTATATTGTAGATACATAAGATACTTTTTTGGAAAAATAGATTTCATAAAAAATATTTTATGGAAAACAACTATATTTTCTTATTAATTATATTTCCATGAAACGTAGTTTTTGTTACTATATTATTATGCTCTAACCTGCCGAACATTGACTAGCTTCATAGGGATGTAAAAATTAAAAAAAAGAAAAATAATTTTATCTCTAATATGTCTAATTTTTTATACAAATAAAATGATATGAATATCTTATGTATTCAATATGAAAACGGGACAATTACATTACATGTATAATATTTTCGTATTTTAAATTGCACAAATGTAAATTATAATTAATTAATATTAGTAAAATAAAATAAGGATATTAGAAATATATAAAGATGTATTTCTTTTTATGGATGTGAAAATATTTTTGCTTATGTTAATATGTAACTTAGTTCGTGCAGAAATTTTTAATTAAGACTAGTTATATATATATGTAATATTCAATGCATAAGCAAAACCAATTAAGTTTTAAATGCTAGTTGAATACTATATTGTCAGCTTGCACTTTACTAAACGCATAAGCGAATTTTTAAATATAAATTAATAGATTAATTTCATGATAACATTGTATGTTTCAATGATAAAAAAAGCGCTAAACTTAATTTACCACCTGTATTTTTGCATTAAACAATTTATTGCAATAAACATCCACTTGTATTCTTTGGATCTTTGGTAGTTTGATGAATTGAATCTTCTTTAACAGGAGGTAAATTTTGTTCTTTTTCTAGTTTAGCAGGGTTTAATCCAGACAATGTTCTATATACATCCAAGTTCCATATAGGATGATGCGATTGCATTTGAAAATCAATTGGACTCACTAAACCAAAAGTAGCTTTTGTATCCAATGTTGGAACCTCCCCTGGTATTGTATGATGATAACTTTTAAAGTACAAATTATTAAAATTAAATTTTATTCAGAAGTTGCTTCCTTTAATCTGAGAGAGTGAGAGAGAGGGAGAGTGAGAGAGAGAGAGGGAGAGTGAGAGAGAGAGAGAGAGAGAGAGAGAGAGAGAGACAGTGAGTGTGTGTGAGAGAGATATGATACTTACATTAAACCATTTTCACGGTTACATTTATCAAGAGTAAGTTTTACTATAGGTGTTAGGCGTTTAAATACAGCATGTTGATCTGGCTTTACTCTAGGTGCTGGTCCATTTATTTTTCCATACTCCTGACATAATGTCTTTGCTTTCTTTAAACACGCTTCACTTTCCTGTAAGGCTTTAATTGCTTCTCCACACTTATCCATAGATAATAAATTCTCACCACAATAATTATAAGCCTATAAAGTTTAATTGTGTAAGAAATTTGTATTTTTTCATATTTATATTTTTTAATAATTTGTTTACATAGGATTGATAAAATGCTGCCTTGAGTTCCAGATATTTAATCCACTGTGCTGATATCTCTGCTTTAAATGGACGTAAGGTATTAGCAGCATCCAGAAATAATTTACTTGTTTCATTAGCTAGTGCTGATATTAAATTAGCATTATGTTTTAGTTCCACTGCTCTGGCTACTGTCACTATAACATAATGTGAGTAGAAAAATATACATTCATTAACATCTGAATAATGACAAATGATGTTGCATAATATTATGAATTTATTCATTGTTCAACCTTCCTGTGCTTCCGCTGTACATTGATTCACATATGCATTTATTATTCTTGGATCTAGATCACTTCCTAATGGTGGAGGATTTGCCAATTGTGGTAAAAATTCTGTTTGTACAAAAGTAAATATTCCTGCAGCCCGTCTTAGCATAGTATGTACATCTTTTGCTTCATTCATATTTATACTAAATTGTAGTGATGGTACTTCTTGTAATATTACTTATTTTACATTTCTGGTTATTTTATATCTTATTGCTTATACTTACTCATCCTTGGCAGCAATCATTGCAGCATGTTTCATGAACCAAAGTCCTACATTCATGCTCATATTAGCTGCTTCATAAACAGAATCAGCACTAGAACTATAATAGATATTTTAAATTATATGGTAAAACTATTTTGGATTAAATAAATGTAAAAGAATATATTACTAGGTACTTGATCCCAGTAAAGTATGTGTCCACTTATATACAATAACATTTCTAAGTTTGCTAGGATTAGGTCTGCCAACATGTTCAGATTGTTCTGCAGCAGAATTTATTTCCCATATAAATCCATACACTAAGCTTAAATAGCTATGAAAGGCTGGTTCTATAGTATCACTTGAATTATTTGCATTTTTTATTAACTCTAAAAGACGACTTCTTGATAATCTTAGATCACTATAATGAACAATATAATACAATGTAACATTGATAATATTATATTTTATTATTTGAAATAAATTTTTTATAATATAATGAGAATATTTGAAATATTCATCAAGCATATGTAGAATTAAATGCGTTTAATTTAATTTCTTCATAAATATAGCTAACCTGCATAGTTTTCTTGTAGCATCAGTAGGATCAGTTATTTTTAATTCGAATTTTTGATTTGTCGTGGCTTTTAGCACGTTACGATGAAACCAATGTGCCATTTTACTAACAATTTAAATTAACGTGTTCTCTTTGATATTCTCAGAGTACTTATAACCAATCTCTTCGATTTGACAGATAAAGGAAATCGAAGTAAAGCAGACAGCACAACACGACTACATAAACGTTATACTCAATGAAAGATATTCCACTTTTTGCGCAAATCTTCGCACACTTCCGCTCTGTGTGTCAGCGTGTAACCAAGAGTCGGCCGTCATATTTATTTTCTAAAAAGGTAAAAAATATATCAAAAAACAATGTATGTATAGCAGTAGATAATATTTTAGATACATAATAATATATGTCGTATCTCATTATTGGTATGATAATTGTGTCTTAACAAAATTCACACATTTGTTATTTAACCTATACAATTTTGGTGAAATATATAACATATACAGTGGCTCGCGAAAGTATTCGAACATTTACACTTGCAAATTTCAATTAACAAAATGAGGTACTAAACTAATTTGTTAAAACAATTTGGTATCTATAGTGACGGGAAAGTCTCAAGATTACATCAGTAAAATTTGAAAACGATTCAATATAGACAGGAGTTGTGATAGATTTGTTAGAAACATTCATGATAAGTGTCTCACAAAAGTATTCGAACATTGTAACGTTGTTGATAGTTTTTCATCTTCCTTTGCACCGAATGTAAACATCGTTGCTAAATGAAAATATTGGTCATTCACTTGATGTTAGGATATCGTTTCAGTAACAGGAACGTAAAAGTGTGCACAATGGTATTTAAAATGAATACCAAAAAATCTGAAACAAAAAAGTGTGAAAGAAAAAAAAAATATTCCGATTACATGAAAACAGCAAATCATATAACGAGATTGCCGGAATTGTGAGCAGAAGTCTACAATGCATTATATAATAAAAAAGTCAAAGAATGAGGGAACACTTGAAAACAAAGATCGATCAGGTCGGCAAAAGAAATTGACTGGAAGAAAGGAGAAAGTTATTATTCGCGAATTAAAAAAAAATCCTACTAAATCCGCTCCTCAACTCGCAAGTATGGTAGCTAGTATATTTCATAAAAAAGTTTACCCGGAATTATGTCAACGAATCTTACGAAACAATGGTTTTCATAGCAGAGTACCGCGAAAGAAGTCATATATTAATGCGGTAAATCATAAAAAAGATTGACTTTTGTAAAAACCTATATTAATAAAGATATCAAATTTTTATTTATTAGGATAGTTTTTCTCGTTTTTAAATTAGTTATATTTTAATTTTCTTATCAACTTTTCGATCTTTTGTAAAAATATTCTTACAATATGTGATGTCCTTGAAATCTAATGATATTTTATCTACAGGCTGATAAAATTGAGAGATATCACAAAGAAATGTAACTGCAGAGTTTCTTTTATATAAATTTATTATTATCATTAATCATGATGTAATACTTAAATAAATCTGTTATTATTTTTCTTTTTTTAGATGGGTGAACACACAGGCTTAACAAACTGTGAGGCTCGGGAACTTTGCAAAAAGCCTGACCCAGCGACAAATGGTTATATAATGCAACAAACAATGTATCGTATTAAAGATCCAAGAAAATCATTACCTTTTTATACTGAAGTACTCGGTATGCAGTTATTACAGAAACTTGACTTTCCTGAAATGAAATTCTCTCTGTACTTTTTGGGATATGAAGATCCAAAAGACATACCTACTGATAAGAGAGAAAGTATTGAATGGACATTTAGTCGCAAAGCTACTTTAGAACTTACTCAGTATGTTTAAAAATATATATAGTCTAACATATTAACTTAAATTTATTAGAATTAATTTTGGCTGCTTTTTTGTAGTAATTGGGGTACAGAAACTGACCCTGATCCCAAGTACCATAATGGGAATACTGAACCTAGAGGATTTGGTAATATACTCTTTAACTATTATATAATTGTTGAGATACAAAATAAAAAATTATTATATACATGTACAACATATTCCCTTAATTTGTAGGTCACATTGGAATCACAGTACCTGATGTAGAAAAAGCATGTGAAAGATTTGAAAAGTTAAATGTGGAATTTGTAAAGAAGCCTAATGATGGTAACATGAAAGGAATTGCTTTTATCAAAGATCCAGATGGTTATTGGATTGAAATTTTAAATCCAGTAAATATTGCAAATTTAATACCAAATCAATAAAGGATTTGGTATAATGTAATTCTTTTGAATACTCACAAATGTATAAATTTCATTAAACAAAACAATCAGAACTAAACCAAACCATTTTTATGCATATGTATATTTAATTTTATATGTACATGTACATGTGCATAGTAAAATTGTAAGATTGTAATTATTCATATTTATGTATATTTTATAGCACCTGTACATTATTATATTACATTGTGTTATATGTATAATTTATGTATAATGTAACATCTAATTATTCTTTAGTAAATAAAATCAAAATATTTATTTTTAAACAATCAACTTTTTTTAAAAATAGGTTCACATAAATTTTCCCCCGTTTTATATATAAGTATATATAGTTTTAAATATGATTTCATTCTATTTGACTATCGTTCATGCATGAAATCGAGTGAATGGAAAGTATAGAAAATTACTATTGGTTCATCTATGTATAGTAACATGTCAACATATACACACATGCATAAAGGTAATACTATTTGAGTGGAGTATCTTACGCTACAGAGTTCCTAGTCCTAGGTATCTTAGCTGTATACAACAGAGAAATGTCATATTACCGTATATGACTTTTAATTTTGATTAAATCATGTCTGTATAGCCACTTATATTTGACCTAAGTATTATTTGCAATAGTATCCTGTGATAATCTTTTCTCGTTTATATCATTAATATTTTGTTAGTCTCATAATTTTCAATGATCATCTATTACATTGAGGTTAGGTTTTGAACCGCAACATGATATACATCAGTATTTATTATTAAAAATTATATCGTAAAGAAATTAGAATGATATTTTTCGAATTGTGTCTTTGAAATAAAAAGGATGTACAATTCAAATATATTTTATGATTAATATCATTCAAATTTTTCTCTTTTAGTATGGTAGAAGATAAAAAATATGAAATTGACAGCCGAATTGAGTGTGATGGACATCAAGGTACATTAAAGTACGTTGGTCCTGTTGGTAAAACTAAAGGTTTGTGGCTTGGTATAGATTGGGATGATCCAACACGTGGAAAACACAATGGTACATATGAAGGAGTAAAATATTTTAAAGCTAGGTAAAACCATACAAAAATATAATTATATAATTAATTTAGTTATATATAAATAACATATTTTTGTTTTGTAATAGGCATCCTACATCAGGTTCATTTATACGACCAGGTAAAGCAAAATTTGGGATTTCTTGTCCTGAAGCTATTAAAATTCGTTATGGCCTTATCAATGATGAATTAGCTGGCATTGATAGAGACACCTTAACAAGCTTACAGAAAGAAATTAATGCACCTTTTTTGGAAGTTGTTGGTTTTTCCAAAGTAAATAAGAAGCAAAGCAAATTTGATCAATTAAAAATTGTGTGGTTAAGAGAACAATGTGTTAGTACTACTGGTAATCCTGGAGAATTAAAAGAATTATGTCCAAATTTGGAAGAATTAGATTTATCTAAAAATTTAATAAATAGTTGGCAAATTATAGCAGATATCTGTTGTCAACTTGACTGTCTTGTTCGGCTTAATCTGAGGTAGATTACCAAAATCTTATTTAAATATGTTAATAATAAGTAATTGCCATTGTTAATATCTATTTTTATTATTTATTTAGCGAAAATTATTTACCAACTGAAGAAAATATGGAAATATTAAAAGATTCATTTTTTATGCTTAAATATTTAACTATAGCAAGAATGAACTATAATTGGTTTGACATTCAACGATGTATGAGTATGTTTCCATCTTTGCAAGAACTTTCAGTTTCTTTCAACATTGTGAACATCATACACAAGCCAATAAAAGATGAAAATTTAATGAAAATATGTAAATTAACTCTTGAAGGAAATTTGATATCTAATTGGGATGATATTCTTAAATTGGGATCGCTTCCACGGCAAGTTAATAACATTAATTTTGTGTGTGTGTGTGTGTGTACCATTGATTATAATTTGTATTAATATATTATTTATTAGTAAGATATTTATATTGAAGATTTTTTACAGTTTAGAGTACCTTAATTTAAATTCCAATAAGATAGACAAAATAAGGTTCCTAACTGTTGAACCAACAGCAAAAACCACAGCCTTTTTTAATCTGCGGCAATTACATATATCGCAAAACAACATATCAGAGGTAAAATAAATATTTATATGATATAGATAAATTATAAAGTAAAATAATTTGATAATATAATTTATAGTGGCAATCTGTATCAGAATTAGAAAAGCTAAATAATTTGGAAGATTTGAAATTTAGAGAAAATCCTATTTTGAAAAATGAAAATTTAGAAACTGCACGTCAGTTAATCATAGCGAGAATTTCAAAATTAAAATCATTAAATGGCACTGAAATCTTACAAGATGAAAGACGTGGTGCTGAGTATGATTATTTGAAATTATTTCTATCGAAATGGACCGAAACGGAAAATGATGCAGACAAGAGAAATAGGTTCATAATAGAACACCCTCGATATCCAACATTAGTTGCAAGTAAATAAAAAATACAATGAATACGTTTAAAAGTTAGTACTTCTTTAACTTTTAATCATGATATATTGTTCAAAATTTTTAGAATGTGGAATTTCTGATATTCCATCACCTAAAGTGAAAGTGGAAATGGTTTCTAACGTCATAACAGTAGAGTTTGTATGCCCAGATCATCCAAATCAACCTAGAGGAATTAAAAGAAAACTATTAAAAGATATGGAAGTTCAAAAAGTTATAGGACTTGCACAACGACTTTTTAGAACTGGAGGAAAAATTCCAAGACTTTCATTTATACAACAAAATGTAATTATAACATTTTACAATTTATATATGTATATTGGGGTATACTTGAGCGAAATAACAAGTTTGCGTTATCGTGTACTTTTTACGTGGAAGAAATCTTTTAAAGACACCCTACTCGGGGAGGGAAGACGGAGTAGTGTGGGATATTTATCCATTACGGTGGCCGCCGTCGGGTGCGACAGGATAACGTCGCAAACTCATATCGTGCACCTAAATGTATTTACGTGATCATAAACTTACGGGACTCATACACCCTCAATATATATTTGGATTTATTATATATTTTTTATACTACTTTTATGTAATTTTTTAGCTTTCGAAAGATGAAATACTTCTTGATAAACCGCTTCAGGAACTCCGATACTATTCAATACAAGATGGAGACCAAGTTATTGTAAGATGGTGATATTAAATGAATTTCATAGATGTAATTGTATTTTGTACACTGTTAAGATTTCATCACCATACTTTGTTATTAAACTTTTTTAATTGCATAGATATATTTTCTGTACCCTTAGTGATTTGCTGTACTTTGTTAATTTTTACTGTTAGTTGTGATTAAATTTTTAAATATTAATTCTATTAATTTATAAAAATCGTATATTATTGGAAAAAATATTTTTCATTGCAAAAATTAATACATTTTATATGTACTATAATATAAATACTATACAAAACACAAGTTGCAGTATGTTTTTATACACTATACGTTATCATATTTGTTAAAAATGGCACAAACTTTGTTATAAATGTCATATTAAATATCTAATTTTGTTGCGCCTTCTGTTCAATTTTGCCATATTCTTCTTTTTCAAGTTGTTCTCGTGTCAATAGGGATAATCCCAATTGATTTTCACGTGTAAATGGTTGGGCCATTTGTCGTAACCAACGTTTACTTATCTAAAAGTTACGATTAATAATTACTAATATTTATTTTAGGCGTTCTAAATTTTGAGTTTTACCTGCACAGCTTCCTCGGTTGATAAATTACATAAACTATCAGTTAAATGTTCTTGTATCCATTTTGGTAACTTACTTCGTTTATCCATTCTCGAAAATCTCTAAAAAAATAAATATCGTCAAAGAAATGATTGTAAAAAACTAGAATTATTTGTCATAATTTTTGTTACCTTGTCTGCAAATACCATTATACCATAATCAGTTTTTCCTCTAATTGCTCTTCCAACACATTGTGCTGCGTGTCTCATTGCATCAAAAGTTAAAAAATCATTTTCTCTGATCTGTGAGAAGAAAGAAATGGTCATATTATTGATACTATTAATATAAATATTTATAAATCTACAATTTTGTTTAATAACCTACTTGAAATTGATCACGAAGATATTCTAGTCGTGCTTTTAAAATACGCGATTGTGTATACACATAAGGAATTCCAAACATCAAAACAGCTCTTCCCAAATGATGATCAAAATCAACTCCTTCTGATACTTTACCACGTGCCACAGAAAGGAGAACAGCACCTCTTCCATTTTCACATGCTCGTATGTAATTTATAAGAGCTAAACTCGTTTCTGCGGAATCCTGAGTTTCAATAAATAGTAATTTGTGTCTTTGAAGTTGATCTACCACACCTTGATCATACCTATAAAAATAAACTATAATTATATTATTATAATGATATTATCAGTATAAATTAATTGAAACAAACCATGCAGCAACGACAGATTCCATGTATAAGTAGGAGGTAAAAAAACAGACTAAACCATCAGGAACAGTAGCTGCAAATTCAACTAATAGTTGACCATAATTTCTTATAACAGCAACATCTTCTCTTGTTTCATACTTTGACGAAATTGCAACTTGGTCATTACCTTTCGCTACAATCTGACATTATTTTTGAATTAATTTTTTAGTAATTAATATTCTAAACAATATCACACTTACCATTGGTAAGAGACAAGGTCTGGCTAATGTCATAGTAAAAGATGACATTATGACTGGATGAAAATTTAAAATTTTAGGATACATGTCTAATGGAGACAATGTTCCTGAAGTAATTACTACTGACTGAAATCTATCAAATATAGGTTTTATTGCAATAGACGAATCTAAACAAACAAAATGAAGAATTGGATTTAAAACATTAGGTGTTTTGTCATCAAATGGCTCCACAATAATTGTAAATCCTTTTGTATATGTAGATACTAATGTTGCCAGATGTGTCACTAATATAACTGGTGAAAAATCGGTTAAATCGGTTATCTCCATAGTACGTAAAAGAGAAGCTAGTCGTTCTGCACAAAATCTTAATGGTTTACGTTCTATTGAAACTTTTGTTTGAACATCTCTCAGAAACGCAGCAGGTGATTCTTGAACTACGTGTTGCACACGTAGACGCGTTTTTAAATATTCTACAAATCGTCTTAAAAAACCGACAAAATGTTCTGCATTCCTAATATTACCAGGAACCACCTCTATAACAAATATATATAAATTAAATTCATAATTATTCTAAACAGATATAGAATTAAGAATTTACCTTGCAAAATTTCATCTGGTAAGACAGGATTAGCTAAGATAATATCTGTTTCTCTTGCAACATGTGCATCTTTTAATCCTTCTACTAATCTCTCATATTCTTCTTTTAATTTATTTACATCATCCTCTCTCATCCTAAATCACAAATATTTATAATGGCTTTATAATTATATATTAGTCAATATAACATTTAAAACATAACTTACTCAGCCACTGTTTTTTCAAGAAGTTGTATATTGGCTGAACTTTTTTCTAAAGTTCTTCTATTAATTTTTACACTCATTGAATCAATGCATACATTATCTAAAATTAATTAAGTAGTTAGACTTTATTTAATTTTTGCCACATAACTAATGTATTAGCTGCATTGTACCTATATTGTGAGCTTCATCAAATACTACTACAGAACTTTTGCTTAATTCTTTTGACACAGTTTCTGCAATCTTGGGATCTAATAAATAATGATAACTGTACACTACAATCTGGGCATGTAAAATCTAGAATTACATGATAAAAAACATTAGTGCTTTATATTGTCTTAAAATAAACAATCTGCTTACTGAAATGCTTACTGTAAACCTTGCAAGAAAATATGGACACCAATTGCGGTCTCTTCCATATTCTTTCAAATCATCAATAGAATATATGCCTGGTGGCATAAATTGTTCTTTACCTTCCATATCAAATCCTTCATAAAAATTACAAATTGGTGTTGATTCATCATAGTTATGTCTCTCACGAACATATGATGCTGTGAGAGAATGACAACGACCATCAACAATTTTGCCTTCACGTTCTCTGCTTACCTAATTTAAATCTATTGTTAATATACTCATTCATATAAGGTACATTTATTAAAAGCAATTAAGTTTGAAATTAATTACCTCTGGATGAATACACATATTTTTTCGTGAACTAAGAACTAAGCCAACAATTTTAGGTTTACTTTCTGTTTCTTTTTCATAATAATCCATAAGCTTTTTTAATTCTTCTATGACTTTTTCTATTTCTGGTACAGTACGGGAACAATAAATTAATTTTGTCACATCCAATGGATTTTCCAACATATATGCTACAATTAATGATAACAAAGTTATAGTTTTTCCAGTGCCTGATGGCATTTCCAATAAACAGTGCCCCTAAAATTATAAATAAAATTTAAATGTTAATTAGTAATCATATGACACAAAAGTGTTGAAAATACATACTTTAGCATCCAGGCCACGTTTGAGCTCGAGCATATATGCATATTGTTCTGGATAAATGTAATCGTAAGGAAAATATACAAGTAAGCCGTCAACGCTGATTCTGTAAATGTAAACATATAGTTAAACTTTATACTTTAAATAACTAAGAATATTGTTAAATGGAAATTTATGATTACTTCATATTTCTATATTTGTTATTAAATAAATAACAATATTATACACAACAAATATCATTTATTTATTAATATAAAAATCATTAAGTTTCAAACAACGGATAAGGTTATATATATAACGTTATTTGAACTGGTTATTGCACAGGAAAACGAATACATTACGTTTATACGCTTCATAGATCAACTACGAAACTTGTGTTCGTAAAACAATGAATATGTAACAAGAAATTTTTAATGTTCTAAAAGAATAATTGTTTAATTTATTTCAATACAAAACATTCTATATTTCAATATATGCATTCAATATGTTGTATAATTGATATTGTATTATTATAATATAGTAATATAAGACTTGGTATATAAGTTACAAAAATTACATTGAAACACTGCAATATATTACAATTTTGAGATTTTTAATTATATATATTACATAATTTATATTTTATAATTTTATAATCGTTGTTTTGTACTAAACCGGAAGAGAAATAAACCATAACAAATAACGAGCACTACAATATAGATATAGGTAACACATTAAAAAGCTAACGAAATCCTACTAATGTGCACTTATGTAAGTAAAGATCATACTAGAATTAATAAGGTTTAGTTATATTAGGTTTAATTTATATTATGCGTAAGATAGAAAAAAGTATATAAATTTTTTTATGTACTCTAAAAATAATCAATATTTGAAATAATTATAATCATATTGTAATCGTAATATGTAAATAATTTTAAATTTCAATAATATTTGAAGATTTTATACTAAATTATTCGTAAATTTTTAATATTTTCGAAGTGTGAATCGATCTTTACGTATCGATATATATTTAAATCGATATGCTGGTCTAAACCGGAAGATGTTCGCTACTTAATGTCGTTTCCGTGAGGATTTAGCGTCTGTACTGCTACACGTGCATGGACAGTCATAACTTAAAATAAATTAGGAACGTAAATTTACATACCTAATTTTTAAAATGGGAAAGCCAGGTAAATAGTAATCGTTTAAAAATATTATTCTTATATTTAATATCTTACAAAATGAAGGTTTTTTGACTACAACACGATTTCTACAATATAACTTAACTACAATAATAACTTATTTTATACTCATGGAGTATAAGACTATTTAATTTATAAAATATATACATGGATCTATTTGAACGTAATTAATCATTTTTTATACGAATATGTTGGGCATTCAGTCAGATAAACTATAATTTTTGTATTTGTGTGATAGTATGTTACATTAACCTATATTTGTATATTTAAGATGTTTTTGAATTTATTTTCTGCTTCAAATGGTTTACGTACTGAAACAATTAAACCAATATAAGTTTTTATAACAATGCTCTCGTATATATATGTTATTTAATATCATGTATCGTATCAATATTTTATATCAATGCTACTGTATCCACTGTTGTTACAAAATTTATTTCATTACAGGATTTTCACCAGGTGGTGGTGGATTTAGAGGAGGTCGAGGAGGTGGACGAGGAGGAGGTGGACGAGGAGGTGGTGGTGGACGTGGTGGAGGCAGAGGAGGAGGAGGAGGAGGAGGTGGTCGAGGTGGTGGTAGAGGTGGAGGTACTCCACGGGGACGTGGAGGTAGAGGTGGAAGAGGAGGACGTGGTGGAGGCAGTTTTAAAGGTGGCAAAACTGTAGTCATAGAACCACATCGTCACGAAGGTGTCTTTATAGCAAGAGGAAAAGAGGATGCATTAGTTACTTTAAATTTGGTACCAGGTTCAGAAGTATATGGTGAAAAGAGAATAAGCGTGGAGGTACATAAGCAAGTTACTATAATTTGTTATGTTAATATGGAAAATATAATAATTACTCATATATGAATATTACAGGGAGAGAATGGTGAAAAAATTGAATATAGAGTTTGGAACCCTTTTAGATCAAAGTTAGCTGCAGCTATACTTGGAGGAGTGGATCAAATTCACATGCCTCCTGGAAGCAAAGTTTTATATTTAGGTGCTGCATCTGGGACTACAGTATCACATGTAGCAGATGTTGTTGGTCCAGTGAGTTTATATAAGTATTTTGTTTAATATGTATAAATTGCATACATTAGAGCCACTTTAGTATATTATTGCTAATTTGGTGTCGGAGTTATGCTACAGAAATCACATTGCCGTTTTTCTGATTGAGTAAGATAAGTTATATCTTGCTCCAAAAAGACGTTTGTACAAAATTAACAGTTTACCTTTTTATTTAATCTATGAATTGCAATTAGACCTACATTATGCCTACAAATCATTTGTAATACACGATGATAAATTTATTCCTTCTTCTTATTTTAGGAAGGATTAGTATATGCTGTAGAATTTTCTCACAGATCTGGTAGAGATCTTATAAATGTTGCTAAGAAACGAACAAATATTATTCCCATAATTGAAGACGCGAGGCATCCTCACAAGTATAGAATGCTTATTGGAATGGTAGATACAATATTCGCTGATGTGGCGCAACCTGATCAAGCTAGGATAGTAGCTTTGAATGCCCAATATTTCCTGAAGAACGGAGGTCATTTTGTTATTTCTATTAAGGCAAGTATATTAATTAGTATTTTAATAGATTTCAAATATTGTATTATTTTTTATTTGTATCTTTAAGTTTATATAGTCATTATTTTGATTTAGGCGAGCTGTATAGATTCTACAGCTCAACCTGAAGCAGTATTTGCTTTGGAAGTAAAAAAATTAATTGCTGATAAACTGAAACCACAGGAGCAAATCACATTGGAACCATATGAAAGAGATCATGCTGTTGTAGTTGGAGTTTATAGGCCGCCACCTAAAAAAGCTACCTAAAATTATGCATATGTATATATGTTTTATTTAATTGTTAAGATAACATTATAATGACTACGAATATATGCGATAAATTTTAATTACGAATGAAGATATGAAAATAATCTGTAATATAATGTAAAGTAGACAGTTATTCAGATGATTCGAACATTTTCTACAAACAGAATTTATTTCATTATTGTACCTGTGTATTTTGTATACAGAAAAAGACATACACGTACGAATGTTTAATACAAAATTTATATTTTAAATATCATATGATCAGTTCACTTATACTTTCATACAAATAAACGAATTTTAAAAGCCATATAGTATATTTAATTGTATACAGCATTTATTTTTATTTTAAATGTTACCCAACTTTAAGAGATATGCTTTATATGTTTTTAGTACTGCAAAAACAAATGAAAATTACAATTACATCTTATAAATTCTTTTATTCAGATAAACTCTTCAAAACTAAATTTTTCAACTTATGTAAAAATTATTTAAATTAGTTTGTATTATATTCTCACATTTCATTATGTTACACATGAACTAAACAAAAATGACTCGTCCACCATTAAATACATCCAAAAGCGGTAAGATGCTTTCATGAATAATTATAACCATAAGTAACGGTAGAAAATTATTTTTAGGAAATGTTATCGATGAAAATCGTAGACCATCAAATAAAGCGCTCAAATTTAAAAAGTCGATAACTACAGCAAGCCGTAAATTTAATTCAACTGTGAAAACTCTAGATCGTTTAGTAGGAGGAGCAGATGTTCCCGAAGAAAGCGGAGACGTATCGAAACCATCGGAAGAAACTGTAGAGCAAACTGTTGTAGTGGAATCAACATCTAGTGTGAAAACTGAAGATGGAAAACTTATTCGTACAGCTGGACCATGCTGTACTTGTATGTCACAAGTACCAGGATCAACCGGGTATAAATATTATTTTTTACATCCAATTTTTAAAAGGGAGTGAATTTATATTGGAGGAACGTTTAGACGAATCGAAACGTTAAGAAATCATGTTTATACAAAATATTGTCTTGTAAATGCAGAGATAAGAAGGTGGATGAAATGATCGACTATGTGCATCAAAATTTACAAGAAGCGGGTAAAGCACTGGCTACCTTAGGCGAGAACTTTGAGCACGATTCAAAGGTTGAGCCCTGTACGCAAGTAGAACCGTCATGAAATTGGGAAAATGGGGGTACAATAAATAAATAAAGTTTCTTTATAAGATTGAATATGCGAATAAATAAAAATGAATGAATTGGACTGTCCTTTAAAACTCCCAATTTCGTAATACGAATAAACTCGTAATCCGTTATTTAAAGAAAATTTAGCCCTGTAATATTATAAAACATAAATATATATAAGGTAATACACGCAAATTGAATTTATTTTTACAAAAGTTAATGTTCGCTGACATATTTGGTCGAATACAACAATGGATTGGTTTGGTTCAAAATAAATTGGACATTTGTAAGAACGAGATCGAATCATTGCGTAAAGAATTGATAGCACGAGCTTGTGAAATCGACAATCTGAGAAGACTATTGGCAGAATGCGAGGAACGAGAGGCAAGTTTATTAATTAAAATCTTTATTTCTCTGTAATTTTTAACATAATAATATTATTATAGAAATCAGTGGCAACTACTCAAACGGTTGAACCTAAAATAAATCTCGGATCACCTGAAGTTCCAGTTCCAGAAGTAGTGACAATGGCAAATCCAGCCTATGAATCTGTTACTGAGGGAATACCAGCAGGAAATACTGAAAGAGAGCCTACCGTAATAAAGGAGTCTGTCGCAATGAAAGAACCTGAAAACATCGAAATTATTTGTACCGACGTAGCTATACAATCAATTTTGAAAGACAAAGACAGAATGAGACGAGAAATTGAAGTAAATTAATAATCTTAATCTTTTACATTTATCCTCGAGTTTGAACGAAATATATTCTTTTATTAAAATGTGAAAATTCAATTGTAATAGCTGGAAGCTGAGATAGCAAGGCTTCGCAAAGAAAATGAGCGTATAATAAAAGAACGTGCCGAATATGAGAATGCCATACAACGAGCATTGTTACGAGGTGTTTCCTCATTGAATGTCGAAGCATTGAGAGTTATGCGTTGTCCACCAATTCCATGTTGTACTCCTTGTGCACCTTGTCCTGCTTCCGCTATGTAAGATTTTATATTTCATATTCTACAATTAAATTAATAATTGGGAATCGAAGGATACAAACGAGAAAATTAATTTCAAAGGCATTAAGCAAAAAATGTTCTACGATGATAATCTGTATGCCACGCTTGAATACTTTTTAAACACTTGCGATCCTTTCACTTCGAAATAAAGAAAAAACATTTATTGATCTATATCTAAGCAAGGTCAATCTTGACTCATTCAAGTTTCACTCTCAGGGAACCGATTGTGTCTTGTAAGAAGGAAGGCGCGTCGGCTGCGATCGCCAAAGGTTGCGTCACTCAACGTAGTGGCACTTGTGGAAAGACTGCTGTTCGCGAACAAGGTTGTTATACTGTAAAACGACCTTGTGCCAGTCCTTGTTGTTCTGTTGGAAAAAGTCGAAAATCTGCATCAAACAATAGCATGGTTTTTCTTCTTCATCAGGGAGACACAGAGAATATTTGTGACTCGAATAACACGCCAATGTCTCGAGTTTGCGGTTCACCGGTCATGAAAAAGATTGAAATACCACCGTGTCCTAGATTCATTATATAATAACGTTCATAGTATATAATAGTAATAAGCACTTGCTTCTTGGGACTTGATGAAAGTCCCCCAAATTGTTTGAAATAAAACAGACGAACCACTTAAATTTAAAGTTATTGATGATTTTTCAGTTTATGATGTGGAAATAATAAAGAAACATGATATTGAAAGTATAAATATAACTTTATATAATATCGTCAGAAAATATTATAAATATTAAACATCCATTCTCATAAATAACATTAAGATATTTTCCATTATTCAATGTAAGATAGAATTGGAGGACATAGCAAAGGTTGCGTGATATCGTATCGAACCTCGAACATCATCGACACATCGCAATCCAATTCCAATGATTTAAATACGAAGTTAGTTTGATTACTTAAAGCAATTAATTCGATAAGATGAAACTATATCAAACGACGACAAAAGTGAATGTGTTAAAACATTTCGAAGTTGTGCATTAATAATAATCATACATAATTCATTGAAAAAATTTCGCAATTTTTTCTATCGATTCTTTTAGATTCTTAAACGTTTTTCGGCACACATTGTATGGCTGAAAAATTGTGCGTCGAAACCACTGCTTTCTTTTACGAAATTTTTTATACATTCTTAATAAAGATTACAGAGATATAAATGTCAATCGAGTATTAAAATTCGTTAAGTAACGAGTAGTTGCACTTCTTTGATAAGACACTCAAAAATAGTAGAAGGAATCACGATAACAGAATGTAAAGACAAGTACGAAACTTTTTAAAACGTTTCGTGTTGTAAGACGTATGGCTGTTAACGTTTTACAAGCTGGAAACGGAAACGAAATCGGAGGAATTTATTATTTGTTCGCCGTGAGCATTTGCTTTCAAGATATAATAGGGCTAATCTGTGTTTCTCGATCAGCATGCTGCATCACGATGCGAACATTTTTTTACACAGAATCGCTAGTATAGAATCTAAAATACGTATTGTCACGAGTCACGAGGCCATTGGTTGAAAGCGTCCTGGCAATCGTTCAGTTCATGCCGATCGAAAAGCCTCGATTTCGGTATTTCATAAGTGCATTTTCATATTTGACGCAGTTGCATTACCGAAGGACGCCGAATCGAATGTTATTCGCCTATTTCCTGAATACATCAATAACATTACAAAAATATTTGCAAAGTATAACATTAATCGAACGGATAATTACAGCTGATCCAGCAGCATGGTAATGTTATTAATATGTTTTTAGTGAAGTTTCGGGTTCCCTTAAGGAAAATATCACACGCTTTCTCAAGCATATGCGTTGTCGTTTTGCGAAACGATCTGTAAGTTCCTTTTTTCTCTCACGTACTAGAAGTATTACCAGCAGTTTGTAGAACTTACGTAAAGTTTCGGTATGTAACTACCATATTGTCTCTGTGTCATTCGATCAGCAGTTTAAGAACGCCTTGTTCAAAGACGTCTTAGACAACATCGTCCAATCTGTGTTATTAGTCGTTCCGTTACGATAACTATGGTCGACAGTTAATCCTGTTAATTTTTTATAACGTTGGCGCATACAAAATAATGTTTTCCTTAAAAAAATAAAAGGAATGTTACAAAGAAGCTTGCCGTCAAATCAACAATTGTCTTTTCTTTTTTGGACGACTTTTGTAGTGAGGTAGCAGTATGACAAAAACGTTTGAACAAGAATCGTATCGGGGCCATTCTAGACTGGTCCCTTGGCCAATAACGAAAAAGATATATGCTTCGACGGTCCGATGAAAGAAGTTTATTTGTTGTGGATCAAATTAAGGAATTCCTCGCGAGTCTTTGGATCGTCCCGGAACACGCCGAGCATCGTTGACGTAACCGTCTTGCTGTTTATTTTCTGAACTCCTCTCATTACCATACACATGTGCCTGTAACGTAAACAAAGTATTTTTAAGTTATTCACTGCTGCTATATATCGAATAATTATTCATGTCTCACCGTTAAAATTGACAGTAATTAATACACTATGTATATATTAAACGGAATTTGAAATTTCGCTATAATCTATGTTAACAAAGATACTGTTATCTAATGGGCAAGAAATAAAATAAATACTATAATCAAGATACGTTACGTTGTACATTTTAAACACAATCTACGTTCGTTCTAATGTACATACTTAATCTCGGAGTTGCGAAAAAAGTATTGGTACTAAAACCGGTTGGTAATCTTTTTATTAGTTTCCTCATTTTTGTAAGCTCTCAAGGCGACGCTTAACATTTAATCGACATAGTTTTTTAATTACCAATTATTCAAGCACCATCGCTCTCTTTTTCCCTCCCACTGAACCTGTTTTTCCTCTTTTGTTGCACGCAAGTTAGGTAATTCGTTCGCAATTTATGATTACGTTGATTATGTATAACACAAATTATGATATTTGAATTATTGAACATTCGGTATACGTAATTTAGATGATCATTAACGATTGCAACTCCTTATTTCATATTACAGATACATCCTGTTCACAAGAATCTTAATTGATTTGTTCGCAGCTAGTACACGATCGAATCGTTACGTGAACGATTTATACATAATTATTAAACGCCTTTATGTATACGTTCTTAAGTATGGAATGAAGCGTTTTCTATTGAGTGATAGCACCTTGTTAGTACAAGGTCGTATTCCTATATACGATTAATCCTTGCGAAAACTATTGCTCAAGATCCGAGCGTATTGGAACGAAACCGAAGGCAATATAAAAATACGAAGAAAATATCTTGCCAGCCTACGTCTATCATATTTCTTTGCTCTGTTCAATTGTAAGTTTATTATAAGAATAGCGAATGAATTTTTTTCGTTAAATTAAAAAATACGTACACTCCTTCGACGACCACAGCCACTCCCGCTGGTTGCACCGCTTTCGTTACAGCTAATGCAATTTGTTTGGTAAGACGTTCTTGAACCTGAAGTCGTCGGCTGAAGACCTCTACGATTCTGTAAGAAATCAGACAGGAAAACAGAGATGAATATAGTAGAAAAGATTTGGCTATTAAAAAGGGAAAAGGAAAGAATAAAGATATAAAGAAGACGACTTTACATAGAACGTAATATGGAATAAAGGATAGGTAACGAAAAGTGAAAGTTCCTGCTACGACCCTGGCTCGAATGTCTGAAAATCTACTAGTTGCTTACCGTTTGAAGGCTAATGTTAAGTTCATAACATTTAACAAGTAAGTGGACACCGGTCGATTAAGTCTAGCAATGCGTGAAAGTGGTCGGCGTGCCAACGATCGGCGTATTCTTTTCTTCTCGCTTTAATATTCCTCTAATCAAGGCCGATAACTATTGCCGGCTATTACCGCCGATGCAATTTGTTATCGCGAAATTGTGAAATGCGATATCACAGTATTGCTTATTATTTTAATTAAGTTTTATCTATCAACATTTTAACGAATCTTTTTGCACCATGATCATGACCACGTAAAAATATCGAACTAAATTCGATAACGAAACTGTTTATACCGAATAAAATAATTTTTATTATTTTTAATAGTTATTTTAATGATCTACGAGAATCGATCTAAGAGCGAATCCGTCTAATCGCGTTTAAGCGAGAACAGTGCAGTATCTCATAACGGCTCGAAGTTATTGAAAAAACTCAGCACGTTTCCTTCCTTTTATTTCATGGGGTTTGTTGCGTGCTATGATTGTCGTGAAAAACCCGCGGAATTCCCGTGCAGGCCCTCACAGGTCGCTCCGTACTCTCAAGTGCCGGTAACGTAGGGGTGATCAGAATAATTTTCACAAATCATATTCTTCAGCTTCTTACAAGCTCAAATGCATAAACAACCGATTCGTGTGCTCCTCCCCTCTCAACAACCCTCGTATGAGGGACTATGAAAACCTCATCTCGAGTAGTTTAGATTTAGCGTACATCGATACCTCCACGTTATCGGAGTGGATCATATCAGACCATCGGACTATCATTTGAGGGAAAAGTCCTGAGTCTCTGCTCACTGACAGGCAGCTACTAATGACGAGGTAAATGCTTCATGGCTTCATAAAGTTAGAATTTCTTAGATTTATAAACATAAACGTGTACAGACATACAGAAGACATAAACGTTAGAAACTATAAATGAGTACAAGAATAATAACATAAATTTTGAATATAGGATGAGCATAAGGAGAAATTCTGACTTGGTATCTAAAATGTTACATATGATAAAACGTGCGTAACAAAAAACAAAGAAAGACCCGAAGCGGTATTCTTGTGTCTACGTTGTCTTGATGTATCATACGTTACAACGTAAACGTGTAGGGAATGCCGAGATGAATATCGATTAATATATCAAAAAATATATGGTTCTATTCAAAAAAGTGGAATTGAGCTTAAAATCTGCCCTGTAAAAAAATGATTTGCGCCATAATATGTCATCCTTCGAATCGATCGACTTTCGTTAAAACAGTTTTTTTAATAACTTCAACTCCTTATGAGATATTCCACTGTTCTCACTTAAGCGAAACAGACTGTAGAATACAGCATGTAATAATTCCTATATGAAGTTAATTATGTCGACTATGATCAAGTTCGTTAATCTCTGAAGGAGGCTCGCTTTAATTACGTCAAAAATAAATCAGTACGTATCGGTTAATAGCGTTAATAAAACGTCGCGCAATGATGACAGTTCAATCAACGCGATTTAATTGATCGCTGGTACAAATAATCTAGCATCAATTAATCTCCATTTCCGCGAGACAAGATATTAGCTGTCTTAATCTGACGAACGATTCAGCTGCTCTCACGGGATTCAATTGCACCAGCACGATGTCTCGTGTTAATTCAATTTACGATAAACGCTGCCTTCTAGTAAAGAAAATTCCTCGTTACCTGGCCAATTTGCTCAGCCCAAGGATCTTCTTGCATGGTAGGTAGCCGATCGAGACTTTTCCGTAGAACGGTACCAAGTGATGCTCGCACATGGAGAACATCTCGATATCCTTCACTACAACCATCTCGTCGTGATCTTCATCGTATATCGCGTCGTTTATAACGTCTGGAATAAATATGTAAATATTATAAAAAGATCACAGGAAAGAAACATGATAAATATATATTCCGTAGCACTTGGGTGAAGTAATTACAACGTTATGTTACGATTAAGCAAAATTAGAATTATAACGTCATACAATTGAATATTAAAATAACCTGTTGATTCCAAAGGTGTAAATTCTTTAAAAACAGTTGACCAGTGATAAGTTCCGTGAAACTGGATGATAATACTAGGACGAACAACGTTTTTATATTTAGTTTCAAAAACCAAATAAAAGGATAGCTTTGATAACACGCGATTGATTGATAACGCAATGGATTGCAAACCTGTTCTTTCGTGATTTATCGCGTTGACTTATCCTCCCGCAGCCTTCGTATGTATATAAAAAAAAAAAAAAAAAAAAAAAAAAAAAAAAGATATTGCATGAAAAAATCTTGTATATATATTTATTTATATATTTCGTTTACTGAGATCGCGTGATCGTTACACAATTTTAATGACTCCGTTGGCGCAAAAAACAACCAACCTTGTACAAAGGTGGGAAAATGGTTGTCGTTTAAATTGTTCTGCGAAAGAACATCTTGCACGTGGGTTAAGGTCCTCGCGATCCTAGCTGTGATTTACTCGATATTGACCTACTTACTACAACATTCGTACTAGTGATGGTGTATAGGTATGAATCGGTGGTTGGTAGGTGTCGGTGGGAAATGGAGGGTGCTCTCCACGGTTTCCACGGCAACCTTAACAAGAAACACCTTCACAATGACCGGCAATGATGAAACGAATTCGCGCCCCGGTTAACCAAGTGTATTTTTCCATACGTAATAAGATGCTCCTGTCCGCTGTAAAGAAAGATATTGCATGAAAAAATCTTGTATATATATTTATTTATATATTTCGTTTACTGAGATCGCGTGATCGTTACACAATTTTAATGACTCCGTTGGCGCAAAAAACAACCAACCTTGTACAAAGGTGGGAAAATGGTTGTCGTTTAAATTGTTCTGCGAAAGAACATCTTGCACGTGGGTTAAGGTCCTCGCGATCCTAGCTGTGATTTACTCGATATTGACCTACTTACTACAACATTCGTACTAGTGATGGTGTATAGGTATGAATCGGTGGTTGGTAGGTGTCGGTGGGAAATGGAGGGTGCTCTCCACGGTTTCCACGGCAACCTTAACAAGAAACACCTTCACAATGACCGGCAATGATGAAACGAATTCGCGCCCCGGTTAACCAAGTGTATTTTTCCATACGTAATAAGATGCTCCTGTCCGCTGTAAATAAATGACCCCTCGAAACCTTTTAACGTGACGAAACAATGATATATAAATTCCAAACGCTTTGGCGGTGGAAATTCATTTCAACGAGCTTTTACGTGCACACCTCCATTTCTATACTAGACTAAACTCGAGCAATTTCCTCTCTTCTATACGAGCTACCTTTGAAGGAGATGCTGAAAGCGTACAGTTTAATTTTTCCACCTGGTGATCTGACGCGATCAACCTTCGACCGAGATTTGTGTTATCGATCAAAACAACTATGCAGAATATTATTAACCAAATGGAGCATCATCGATCCGATAGTTTTTATATATTTTTTTTTATTGGCAACCTTTATCTGACAACAGTGGAATCATCGAAAAAGGGAAAGTGCAATCGCAAACATATGGCACAGAAACGTCAGACAACAGGCTATATCGATTTTGACATTGTATTTGTAGAACCATGTGTTATATGCAATATCTTTTGCGTGGTATAATCTAGAATTAACTATCACGTTAATTATCGTTAATTAGAGTATCAGTGCATTAAAACAGGTAGTAGCACTTAAACATGATTTTGACTCGATCGTTGCTCACGATCCTACAAAAATAAATCAACGAAGAACAGAGGATTAATGGTTTCATGGAATGTATACTATAGATATACCACTATATGTCCTGATACATTATCGATAAGAATGGAAGGTAAAGGGAACTTATTATAGGGGAATGGTTCCGTAGGAGTTGGTGGTGGGTGACTAAAAGAGAGCGTGGGTTGAGCTTTCGTAGGAAAGTGCTCTGGACTCGTTTCAAATTCACTGGGGCGAGTAGAACTGCCGTTAACCAGGCTTATCTCGAGGGCAGTTGCACTCTAGGTGGATGGAGAGCTAAGTCGAAATGAATTAAAGGGACACCACCACCTGTAGCTGCTGTTTCACCTACATCAACGTTGTGTTAGATCGTACTATTTATCGAGAGCCATTTCGTACAAGCGAAAGTAAAATATAAAAACGGATTATATAGCGCATCAATTAGATCAATTCGACGGATTCTCGACATGACTAACAAATTGTTTCTTAATTAAGATTCTAATATAAATTATAAGTTATATACGTATATCCGAATAATACAATATTATGTGGAGGAAATAAATTGAAATTTAGATATCGAATTAAAGCGGTATATCAGGGCATCTTTAATGGGCATGTCGCTTTTACTTTACTTGGCTATTCGTGGAATCATAATTACCGGGGAGCAGCAGCATTTCTACGCGATACGCGACAAATGGAAGAGAAAGATGAAAGGTATTTTCTTCGAGTCGCTGTACGTTCCTGAGACCCATTTATATCACGAGCTTTACGCCTTCTTTTTTTCGAATTGTACTTAAGACTTCCTCTCTTTTCCCCTGTGACGGATCTCGAGTAACTCGAAGGAGGGAGGAAAGAAATGGACGGCACTTTCCTCGAGTGGGTATATTCATGGTTTTATCTGTTCTATCGACCCTATACCTTAAGAGAATCATGATTAAATGGCCGTATTATTTTCAGTAAGATAAAAGATCTTTTATGATTAGAAAATCGGACGACTTCTTATCTGATTTATGGAAAATTACGTTATATTATATTCTCTTATCTTTACCTAGTTATTTTATTTTTCGTTCCTATTGTACGATATCTTTTTATTCTTAATTATTTAATTATTTTCGTTCAACTTATTTCCTCGTACATTTCTTATACAAGGTAATAAAAACGTGATAGCCAATGATAAGTGACTTACCATCGATGCTTTGATCGTAACCTTTGGTGAAAAACAGCATGGCTTTCGCAGCACGTTCCGGAGTCTTTAAAAGACCTGGTCGATCAGGATCCTCGCCAAGTGAGCTCAAAAGTAGCTTGTAACTCCGTGACATTTCCGGAAGTAGAGCCTCGCGCGTGGGTGGCCTATGGTCTAGCTCCAAATCGTGATGAAAGGTACATTTTTCATGTCCTGGTAAAGCAAACACTTTAAAGTATCTCTATCAACTGTTCATCGTACTTTTCAATGTTTATTAAATTCACTGAACTCTATTTAAATTTAATTTTATCTCGCATATACGTAAACGTCAATGTTTACTAGATCCTGTTCTTGGCGATTATGAAACCTGATTTCATTTTTTTAAACATCATCGTTATCGTTGGCAATGACCCGCGCTGACGGAAGACTCACGATTCGATAGGTTTGCTCGCGTGTGATAACGAAGAACAAATTTGTTGCCTTCCTATGAGAAGCACATATTCGATATTGATAACAAGTACAAGCACGTATTTGCTATTTTTAATACATGCTACGATAAGTCTGCCAGCAAACACCTGTTCGCAAATTTTGACGAACAAAGATTTTTCTAATGCGTCTTTTGTCTCTCGATACTCTTTGCAAAGTATAGAAGAAGGTGCGCAATAAGATTTCTAGACAAAGACACGATCGATCGGCAAACAAAGTTGAATCACGAGTTTCACGGATACAAGTTTAATAAAAGTAGATGTCTAACAAAGTGACACGATTTTAATTGGCAAGTGGAACAAATCAAAGGAACAACATAAAAGGAATTAATAACGTAATAACGAAACGTAACGTAAGGCAACCTTAATCCGTGCTTATTACTTTGGACCAGTTCTTTTTTTCTTCTTCCTCGCTTCCTTTAACGGGTACGAAACATTGTATATTCATAAACGTTAAATGTTTCCATTCACGATTAGCATAACGCTTTAATTCACATTCGCAAATGTAGATCGATCGATGGATCGATCGTCCGGCGAGGGTCCCACGCTACTCTTCGAACGATGCCTGTAATATTCCAAAGTGTTCTGATCCACGACGAGGTTTGTCGTTGACGGTCGTCTTGCATGCATTGCCGAACTTATTGCATAACGATTAACGATGGCGTTACATCAAGCAGAAGGCGAGATTTCTATCGATAGCCATAATTTATCACTTGTATAACGCTTCATTCGCGAGCAATCTAGAACGTATTAAATTAAAGAGAATCAGTTCTCGGGACTTCTCTCGGCATAGATTTGTTCTTGCAAGCGCGGTAGATAGAATCTAACACTGGAATTGACGTATTCAAGATGGAAAACTAAGTTAAACCATGCTCTTGCTAATGAACGGTATCGCGTAATTCAATCGAGTAACGGCACTGCTCCAATACGCTGTATCAATATGCACGCATATTGTACGCATTCCTGGAAATTGGTAGCCAGGTTCAACTTTATTACACGTACGTGATATAGTTACGTTAGTTATCATGAATCGCATGATTTTTGTTTTATAGAAGGCTAAATATCGATTCGATAACTATACGCTGAATTACGAGGGCAGACTGAGAAGTTTCCAGAATGACAATGACAGTAAGACAAATAAAGCAAATCTTAGCGCGGATGCCGCAAACTTTTCAATCTGCTCCTGTAAATAGACGAACGTTAATGTTTCCAAATTCGGTAAATTGAGTTAATTATTAACGCTTTGGTTCTATTTGATTTAATCAACATTTTTCGTAATCTTAAGACCTTTTCCCGAGAAAGGAAATTAAAGAAGGTTTAACAAGAAAGAGATATTATTACGAAACATAGCACACGTTGCTTTGCACTCTACAGCAGAGGTGGCCAACTTCATTATATAATACATGACGACTATTTTTCTTAAAAATGTGTTCGCGATCTACCTATTAAAATCTTCACGTTTAACACATTCGAACATGTGCCTTGTGTACTAATAAATGAAAAAGAGAGAAGAGGTATTAAACGAACATGGCATTTTATTAATATTAATATTTACTAACAAGTCGACCGACCGATCGTGGTCCACTTGTTGGCCATTCCTACAGCACGTACGACACTTCGTTATTATGTAAATATTGATCTCTTCAATATTTACGATTATGTGGAAAGATCGCACGTGCAAAAACCCATCGATTCTTCGTAATCTATTTTAGCGAGCAAAGATATTATATTTGGAAGAAATCGAAGAAGCAGGAAAGCAAATACACGAAAGCAGCGATTGAAAGATCATCGACGCACGTTTTATTCAAAACGATGAAGTCATTCTTGTTTCTAAAGTTATAAATTCGTGGCGAATGAAAGTGTACGAAATTATGTCAACCTTTTTCACCGAAAAATAAAAGATGCTCTCCGTTCCTTCAGAAAGTTGATAGTCGCGTTACGAGGGATCGTACATTCGTAACATTACAGTTATGAGTTACGTTCCATCATAACTGTACCCCAACAGTTCCCAGGGTCTTTTATCATTTTACGATCAGCAGGTTACAGTTGACCTGGAAACGGGAACTATGACCACAGTGCTCTCCAAATCTTTGTCACGGATCACGGTTTGATCAATGACAGCGACGCTGCCCGAAATAAAATTAAAAGTCGGTGAGATGACCGAGATTAGACTAACAACAATGGAGAGTGGAGAATAAAACGAGCATCAGGTGTATGAATGTTTTGTCACGGTCCTTAATACGTAAATGATACCGTAACGTAATTCCCTCTTTTTCTTCCTTCTTCTTTTTACGGAAAGTGCAACAGGCTACGGTTACTTATGTTCGTGCAATCGATTAGGCACGCAATTAACGGCAGAAGATTCCGTCGTTTTGAGAAAATTGAAATAATTGTTCTTCGAATTTGCAGATAAAGCGCATAACAGAGTTAATAACGATCAATGTTACAGAAAAATTTAATGGCGCGTTGCTGCAATTTACGGAGCGTAGATAATATCAAAACCTGAATGGAAATTGTTCAATTATCACAAATATCCAAGTCAACAAAGTAGCTGCCACTTGTTGTAACAAGTATATCTAATAGCTCGATGGAAAAAGAAGCATTCCAAATTTTCCAATCAAAAAACGTCTGATCCGGCAAAGTTGTAAAGTCTCGAATCTGGGACCCTTTGCACGATCAACGTTGCGAATGAAATTTAACGAATCAGGTGTTACAGATTCTTGCTACTAAAGCAGTGTTACACAGTAACAGGTTTTATTGGCAATGAAGTAGAACTTTTATAAATCGCAAACCCTACGCGACATAAAAATGTATCTAATGTCGAAGAAGATAAATCTATAGCCTATCAGTTAACTATAACGCAAGTAGACTATAATGCAAGGTGGCCCTGGAGAAACGATTTTGTGTATCTATCTAATTTATACAACTTTCAAACGATTATTTATCGTATGAACATTCCCGTTCCATCTATTACGCAAAGTACCAGCACGAGAACTGCCTTTCAGCTAATAGGTTTCGCTATGTAATAATAACGTATATATGTTATATTATTTAACTCGAAAATTTGTAAATTCAAATGAACTTCGTAGCCGACTAATCGTGGTAACACGATAACATTCGTCGCATTCCACGGTTCGTTACTTGTTTTTAATCTCGGAAATTTCCTGTGACGCGAACGTGGCAAAATCCCTAATCGGAGGACTGCTAATCATACATGGAAACGATACCTGGCGTGGTGGAAGTTCGTGGAGTTCTGGGCGTCCCCGGTACATCCAAATTGCTCTCCTCGACGCTCTCCGACCAGGAAACAGTTCTTATTGGTCCCGGCTTTTTTATTTTCATCTTGTGGTCGTCTTCGTCGTCGTATATACTTAGGTCCTTGATTTTCGCGCACTGATTGGAAATCCCGTTCATGACTGCGTCTTCCGATCCTGTTCGCCACTCGAACTATAGTAGCAATAGTAAGACGGCCTCTTCTCAATCCGATAGATGATCGATCAATGAGGAACACAAACGCTCTATCAAAATTGGTTGAAGGTGTTTTTCAAACGAATGGCACACAGCAAGCAGAAAGTAAACGTAATAAACGGTAGAGAATCGAAGCGATTGACGCTAAACGTGCCGAGTTTATAATAATAATTGTATTATTAAATTATTTACTAATACACATACACATCGCCGCAATAGTGGTTTAAATTCGTCGAATCGTGGTAAAAAGAGAATCTGTTCCATTTTTAATTCTGGAATGTTGATAATTGATACTTCGTTAATTGGCCACCGTTACCCCCACCAGTTCTTGGAACTGACTTGGAAGAGCCTCTGATATTACGTATGTAAAATAAATAGATGTGTCAGGTATATATACCGGGTAATTATTGCGACGGTGAATGAGTATTGCCACTTTCTATTGTAGGAATACTTTTGTTGACGAGGAAATATCGTTCTGTCGTTTGACAAGAGACTCCTTCTTTAAGGATTGTGGAACCACGTAACAAATGACGCGCGATTTTCTCTTAATGCCTCTAAGTATTTCAATATGAATTTCGAAGCAATTTGAAACTTCTAAAATATCAAATATGATTTTATGTTTAAAATTTTTTAGTCCCGATGATTTTTAAATCTTGTGTCTTGACAGAGTTCGAGTCTGTTTTACATTTTCGTGACTCATATAAAATATCGAAGATAGAACACACTGTACAGATAAAATATAATATATATTAAGATGTATTAAGATTTATACAAGTACAGAGACTTTCAAGATTTATCAAGTTTCTCAAAAGCTTTAAATATCAAATCATATTGAAAGCGATTCAAAGTGTTTCAGCACATCCTCTACCACGTGATTCACGAACAATACGCGTGTTATGTGTATAGTACTCGGCAAGTTTCAGCGAATCGGGTTCTACCATCAAACTGATGAAACTTACTCGCAGTCGGATTGACTCTGTCGGTTCACGTGCACCCCTTGGATGTTCGTCGAACACCGGTACGAAAAAAGTGAAACGTCGTTAAAAACGTCCGACGTCGCTTTCCCAAGATTAAACGTTCGTACTCATGAGAGAACAATCGCGAATATTATTATATTCTTTAGACAAAATGAACGAAAACGAAAGGGGAAATAAAGGAATGAGACAGGTTTGAAACACGGGAGAAGACAGAAATAAGAAAATAAAAAAGAGAGTGGTCAACGAGTCCGAAAGGAAAGAGAAACGACCGCGAACTCGCTCGGTTAAGTGACGCAGTGTGACTGAACCGACGGAACTGTGGAGAGTACGAATGTTCCCTATGGTTCTTCCGTCTCTATCTCTTTCCCCCTCTGTCTTTGTTCCGCCCTAATCGCACCGTGTCTCCGTCTCTCTTTTTCCCAACAAGTACTTTTTTCCCTCTCGTTTTTTTTTTTTAACCTTTATTTCGTTTTATGTAGAAAACTGTAGTGACCGTAGCCGTTGAAGCGTGGTATCACTACTCGACCCCCAAAAAGCAAATTCTCGCGACTGATGAGCAAAATCTCGCGTCACGTTCAGTATATATCGGGAGAATGCAAGTACTGCACGGTGAGAGTGACATAGAAGTGAGAATACCTCCCTCCAAGCGAACGATCCTCCCGCTACAGCGTTCGAGAGGGAAATACCCAACTTTGCCCGGACTACACACTGCGAGATGTGCAGTGTCGAGTGACAAGTAGCGCCTCGCCATAGGAAAGTGTCGAGATATCCGTAACTTGCGATTGCGAGGTCGACATGGCACACGGTTACGCTTTTAGCGTGCAAAGATACCGTGAGAATTATCGTTTCTAGATACATATAATTAAGATTCACAATGAAACATACTAAATGAAAATGATATAGAGCTGCAATGATATTAGTGAAACAGTAAAGGTAACCCCTTCCATTGTCAAGCATATAATTTTCCAAGATATTTTTGCACAGATTAAGAACCTCGAGTCATTTTCAGAGCCATCAATATCAATTTGGAATTATGTATTTCTTTCGAGAGTACGAATTCTAATCTTTAACAATTACAGGTCAACTTTTACTAATTATCGTTTGAGCAGAGGGGACTTAATACCGCAGGAATATAAATTTATTAAATAACTTCCATTAATATGTATAGCTTCTTAACTCTAAAATAACCAGCTTTTATAGTGAAGATAAAGTAGGTATATTTTCCGATCTTAATAAAAATCAACACTAATTTGCTTATATAATGTTCTTAGTTATTGCAAGATAAAAAAGAAAAGTAAAATCCATCGCCACAAGCATTTTGATTTTTCTATGGTTTAATTTATGATTGCACGATACATAGATACATATATTGTACTCATCTAATATCGGAGTAACCACAGATTGATTACAAGGAAAATTTATGATAGAGCAACAGGAAAGCACAGAAGGAAAGGAAACACTATCCTTTATGGGTTTTCAGAACGCGAGTCAGAATTTACGTCATTGTGATTTCCAAGAGACCGGTTCCTCGGTACTGATCTTTCTTAGTACACGTTTTACGCGTACGTCAAACACCAATTTCGCGAGATCATACTTAATTTTGACTTTTATACATTCTATCTTCTCTACGTAAGCATCATGAAAGATGCACAACTCGAAGAAACCTATATATTTTTATTTCCTATTTATCAAGACATTCCTAAAACGCTATGGAAATATAGTAGAGTTATTATGAAAACACACGTATAATCGTCATTTTCAGATGCAAGCGATGACCTTGAAAACAGCGACATAACAAGATCTCGATAGCCCTATAAGTACTGTTGGTAATTAATAGCGACAATGATAAAAGCGATGGTGGTCGCATGCAACTGGCCATTCCCTGTTTCAGTAATTAAGTTTCAACGTCGATGAGGTTATCATGATATTCCGGCTAGGCTATTAGTCTACAAGGGGACCTGAAGGTGGAATGAGTAAAGTTACTATACGTCTATTATAGTTTGTGATAATATATTAGAATCCGTTAACTGACTAGCAAGTTACATATGACTTACACTTACTTATTGCCTCCTACTCGTTACTTGTTCTATTCTCCTACTATTTCTGTTAATTGTACAATACTTTTACAGGACTGCCTTTCGAACTACGCTTTTTTAAAATAAGGAACTATGACAAAAATAAATTATGATTAATAAGTTAGTCAATTCAAGCTGCAATGACATTGTACCTATATATATATATATATATGTATCGAAAAGTATACTTTAAACGAGTCTTTGCAGTTTGCATTACTGAATGAATAAAGCATAAATCTTTGTTTTATCTAAACGATCTACGCGAAAAAATAATGCGTTGGCTCATATTATTTTCTATACGACGATAGCGTATCTATCGAACTGTACAAAAGCGCGCAAAGTTACATTTCTCGTCCGTATTCATAGTTGCACTACTGAAACTCGTCTGATTGTGAGATCAATTGACCTTCACTACTTGCAATCAATACAAAGCTGCTGTTGGTACATCGCGAAGTATCTGACATCCCAAAAACCTCGCTGAATATGTTCAACGAAACGATAAAATTTCGCCTTGTTACAAGAGTCTACTTGAAATCCATGAAGAAGGAAAATACTCTCGACGTTCCATTGTGCGGATTTTATTAACGTTCGTCTAACGATTTAACGAGCGTGAAGCTTTTTGCACCGGTTTAGAGGTTGCGTTATAAAGAGGGAAAAACTAAAGGAAAGGCGACGTATAGAAAACTAAAGTGTATCGGTGAAGAATTCGAGGTCATTCTCATGTAACAACAACAGCGAATCAATGCCAGAGGAATGTACGATGATAGGCACGCGAAGAATGGATCTACCCCGAATCATTTAAGCATAGAGTCATAAAAGCGAGAGCTCTCTAGCAAAAATCACTGTTCCATCATAATTTACTTCTTTATGTAATAGCAATAGATAGGAGATAATCAATACAATATCTTTCTTTTAATAATTATTTTAATTATTTAAAAATCGATCTCGGAGATAGTAAGATTTCATTTCTACAAATGATAATTTTTAAATAAATAATAAACAGTAAGGACCTATATTTTGTGATATCGTGAACCAGAAACTCTATATCCAAGTTCTTTGCTCTATCTTAATACCGCATGCTTTACCCTAATACAAAGTATAGAGTACGCAGATACTTGATATGATTATATAGTCTCATGTCGATATCGACGATATCGTTTTATCGTTATTTAATATGATTGGCAAATATAAATCTATTATAACATGACATCGAGCCGTATGCTGAAAAGAAATGCAATGAATATGAGAAGATATAATCCCTCATAGATGTTATGTACTCGTTCTAGTCTAATAATTGAGGAAGTCGCGATGAAATTAAAAAGTCATGATAAATTCTAACTAACATATCTATGTGTATATGTGTGCAATGGCTATTAATTTATAATTAATTCATAATGCTTGTAATTACAAGCATTTACAAGCATTTAATTTCTATTCCGTTTATAAGACCGATTCCATGTCCAATACACTTTTTATCATTAAAGTATTAAACAAAAGAATAACTGAACTTAAAATGTTAATAAACTCTGCAAAAGTAAATATAAGGTTTACAACTTTATGTAGATATAAAGAGTTCAGTGAATTGGTAGAAATACAAAAATTACGATATTAACATGATACTTACCGCTTTTTGCTATGCAATTCATTTTATCTCTAAGATGATCTTCGATGTATTTCTTCATGAAAATCGAGGATTACTTATGCAGGACTTATATTCTTTAAAAAATAAAAGAAAGATTAATGTTTTCTCTGTACAATTTCTATGATATATATATTATGTATTATATATATATATATATATATATGATAACTGTACAATGACGTCTCAAGGAATGATGAGGAAAAACGCGACGGTTAAGACTGTAGTATGAATCGTTCACTAACGATTCTCTTTCCAACTACAGATTTATATATCTCTACTCAGATCGAAAAACCTTTGTCAAGCTGATTCCCCTTCCATCTCTTGCCACTTTGATATTACAGCAGGAAATACGAGCACTTCTTTTCGAAACTAAGAATAAAGAAAGTTGTAACAAAGATATTTTCATTATAATACGAAGGCGAATAATCTCTTTTTAATTTTGTAAAAATGAACAGTAATGAAATCGTAGATAGATGATATTAGAATTGTGAAAATCATTTATAGTGTCGACATAACATTCTAAATTATGATCATTAATAAAAATAGAAAAATAATTTAGTTTTTTTTTGCGGTAAGTTATATAAATGAATGACATACACTCATTTGGATTTTATGGAAAATCAAAACAATAATTAAAATCTTATACAATACTGAATAAATACTTAAGAGTACAGTTATATAAAGCAATTGCATCAAAATCTCCATTTCATCTCCATTTGAAAAACGAAGTGACTGAATATGTCTATTGCGGACGATGAATAGTTATCTAAACAAAGTCAATTTTCATCCTATCATATAGTGGTTTGGTTTAAATGTAAACGTAAATTTATTTGTAATGAAAAGCAGTTTTATTAAGGAGATAATACAAATGATTAACATCTATTAAAGTATAAGAAATAAAATATAAAGCATTAACATTAACTCATTCATCAATTAGAAATATAAAGATTTATATGATGTGCGTTAATCGAGCACATATACATAGTTTCAATAATCAATAAATATATTTTCTTTGTGTTATACTTTATATAATGATACATTTATAGAAAATGTAAATGGATTATATATATATATATATACATATGTATATATCACGTATTATTGTTTTTACCAAAACAAGTAGTTATTTTATTATATCAGCATTATTATCATATGTTAAATTACGACAATTACGAAGACTCATAAAAAAATTAATTTTGTCAACTAAATACAAAAGAAATGCAGTATCATCATAGATAAGTATGTTTTGCATTTTTTTCTTCGATATATATATATATATTTAGTTATATATATGAATATATTTTTATGTGCATATTCAAAGCACGTTTCAAATAATCTTTGCAAACTCAAACTTGTTATTTAGTATTCAAAAATACTTAAAAATATAATTTAACGTCTGCAAATTGTTTTAAATGCGATTATGTAGATAAAAATATTTCTATAAAAAATAGCTATCTGTGGAGTGTTAATTAGTTGGAAAATTGAAAATATTAGTATCAAATTTAAATATAACTACAAAACAAAAATGCAATGTTCCCCATTCCTATATTTTTGTTTTCGCTATAATAGAGCAAAGTTGTACCTGTAACCTGTAAGTATATAAAAGACTTTATGTTTCAATGGAAGAAACAACTTCGAATTTTATATCCTTCTTTATCAACTCATCGATCAATGATGTTTTATTAAATGCAGCACCAGCAGATAAAACACCACCACTAAAACAGTATAATAAAAATTATAAAATAATATGTATATGGAATAATATACATTCAAGTAAAAGCTATAAACGTACGTTACAGGTATTTTATCGGATTCCTTAAGTATTGTTATAGCAGAAAGTAGTAACATAACGCATGTAGCGCCATATGCAGGATCGGTTCCACTAACTTTAGTAATCATTACTTTGTTTGGTAAATTGTCATGTTTATCAGTAGGTTCAACTAATCTTTCAGTCCATCCATCTGCTTTAAAGGTTATGGAGAAACGAGTGTTATCCAGTATCTCCGGCTTAGGGCCTTCGCGGCTTATATATCCACCGGAAAAGAAAGTGGGATACTAAACAGAATCAAATAAATTTTGCAAAACTTGCATTACTTTTTGTTTCAAGTATCAAACCGATATGAAATATATATTTTATAATAAAAAAATAGGACATACCTTTAGCAACAAATTACGACCAAATTCATATTTAGATAACATTACAAATATTAAACCAAAAATAGCAGTTGTCAACACAGAGAAAAGAGATCTATCATTAAAAAAGAAAGAGATATATTTAATATGAAATTTTTAATATAATTCTTATGATTGACTTTAAGTAGCTTAATAATAAGATAAATATAAATTTTACTTGAGTGTAAAATAAGTTTGAACTTGAGCTGGCCGTTGTTTATATTTTTCATACAAAAATCGCTGGGTACGCAGGGCTACAGAACGGTCAGATCCTGGAAATACCATAGACCAACCTTCTGATATAGAAGATTTGTGGAGGAAACCCCTAAAAGATTATTAAGATTATTAAGATTAGGAAACATAAACAATGCAGAAATGTATTTAATATATTTATAATTAATTTATATAATTATAATTATGTTATGTTTATTTTATTGTTAACCTTGGTTTAAGCTTTGGCCAGAATTGAGGTAATCTCTCAGGATAGAGCTTGGAGCGCAACTCGCGTAATTCGTGAAAATTTGCAATACCATAAATTGCTGATTCATATGTTCCATAATGAATGAGAGCTCCGCTAACTTTTGTAGTTACCCATGTATTTAGATAAGTTTCGATAGAATTGACTTCACCATTAAATTTTTGTTGTGTAAAAATGATACCAAGATCACATGGTATGCTATCAAATCCACATGCACTTATGATATAGATACCAGCTTCTTCTGCTGCCTTATTATATTTTAATTGAATACTTTCTATATACTGTAATACAAAAATAAAAGGATAAATAATGTAAAAATATATAACACAAGTAACAAGTAGAATTAATATCAAGTTATTAACTTTAATAATTTTGAAACATTTTGAAAAAATTACCTGTGGTTCACCACTGACATCAACTTGATGAGTATGTGTAGCAATACATGCTTTAATTACTGGTTCTCCATAAAATCTATATGGGCCACAACAATTAACAAGCACTTTAGCTTGTGCTGTCATTTTTTTTAAAGACTCTTCATCTTTCAAATCAGCAATCAATATAGGTACATCTTCTAAAGTTAATTCATCATATTATTATAATATAAGCAATATTATGCAACAACTTAATGATCTAATGTTACCAATATCAGAAGCAAATTCTTTAACAACTGCTTGTAAAGCTTGCTTTCTGCGTCCAGATACTCCAAATTTCATTTCTTTTTCTTTAGCTAGTTGTGCTGCTACTTTTACAGCATATTTTCCAGTATATCCAGTAGCTCCAAATATCACAAAGTCTAATCGTTCGTCTGTCATAATGATAACACCTAAAAATAATAAAATATATCTCTGGTTTGGTATAAGAAATGCCAATGTCATATTTTTGCAAAAATGAGTTAAACCTGATATTAAGTTTGCAAACAATTGTATATTATATATAACAAAAGACAATTTCAAATTCTATGTAGAAATGACTAAAATAACATTTGTATATACCAATGTTAAAATGTTAAAATAAACCTTCTGTAGAAAATAGCAAAGTCAACATAAAAAACAAAAACAACATAAATTTTATTGTCTCTTTCTATCAAAAAAGAAATTTGGAACACTGGAAACATCTGTGTCAGAAATTATTTGAACATAAATTTTTTTAACATATCTTTAAGTGCTAATATTTGAATTTAATAAATGCTGAGAGTGGTACTTGCATCAAACCACAGACATGTATATGATCATGTCAGTCTCTTATTAAGACTATAATTACCGTATGATTGATTTAACTTTTAAATATTCAAAGGTAAAAAACTAATATTTCATGGTCAGACTATTTATATACACATATGCAAATTTATATTTCTATGAATATAAAAAAATTGAATATGCTCAGGTAGAAAATTACTTTATACTTTATTATGTTGTATTATTGCATGTAATAATTTTACAATTATATAATGAATTTAAATAAAGTACATGTTTTTACTTAAATGTCATCAGTATATAAATTATTATGAACTAGATCTGGTTTGAAGTTCTTTAATTAATAAATATGAATTATTTATATATATGTATATATAAGTGCGAATTATATATAAGAAATAAGATATGAACAATAATAATCCTTGAATATACTTCTTTAAGATGTGCATTGGGAAATATCAAATAAAAACAAAAGACACGCCTTTTAGTATACTATCTTGAATATTGCTGTAGACTGAAATGTCATTTCGCCGGTAATTTGATATAATTATAATTCTCAAGAGTTTACTATATCTTTAGCAAAATTATAAAATTTTTATATCCTGTCGACAAAATACATACCTTGTATAAACGTTGATAAACAGGATCACAACCTTTTTCCGTGCTAACTTTAGTAACGTTGCACTCTTCCTCACAATTACGTCTTTCTATCCGTATGTTGATAGAATCGAATTGAGCTTGACCAGAGTACATACATACATATGCATACATATGTATACTGAATACCAATAGAGAGGGGATTTTATTACGTAATGTTCAATGGTCTGCTGTTTTTATACATCAAATACAAACTTTTAACTATAAAAATTATTTTTAAAAATTGAAAATATAATATTATCTTATACAGAGATACTTACTTCGACGCATTTGCATTTGGTAATGTGTTTTATTAGTACAATACGTTTTCCTTTCATCTCCGACATATATTATGAATAAAATGAGTAAAATGTTAACAACCAACCGTTGTTATATTTCCATTATTTAAATACATATTTAAAGGATCTCCCTCGTTTATACTAATAAATGTGTTAAAAAATAATTCTTGCAAATAGTCAAACGAATTAATTTTCAGAATGACTTATATGTCATCAAAAACTTTCATTTATGTTTCTAAAAAGTAATAAAATGCATTACCGTAATTGCCCTATTTCAATTATACAATATTAAATTATTCTACTACATCATTTATTTTTCTTAATTTATATTTACAACAATCTTTTGTTTTATTACTTGTAGTCTGTATTCGGCTAGTAATAAATTATATGTAAATAGCTCACTGTTTAGAATATCACTTTGCAATTAAAAACCTAAACTAGCAAATTTCTATTGTGATTTAATTTCAATGTACTTTGTTTTATGTATACGTAAGACACGAAGTATCGTTAACGTGTGTACAATTCCGCTTTCTCTTGGCTATATATCATCACATGTATACACTATTATTTACAGAAATGCACGCTAAAATTATAAATTTTTAGTGTTAAGAAATTCACCTTATATGAATAAAATAATCTATAAAATAATTGTTATTATTTTATAGCCCAATAAAGGCGATCCAAGCAATCTCAGACGATGAAAAAAAAAATTACGTTACTGAAAAAAAATATTTAGCGTTTACGTGATTTTTAGGTTGAAAAAAAATTAATGCATACATACAAAAAGCTTATGACTTTCATTTTTTTTATGAATATAAAATTCGTAAATATTTCTTACGAAAATGGAGCGCAATTAATATTTTTGATAATGTTCTAATGGAAAAAGTGATAAAATACAAAGTTTTCGCAAAAACTTATGTACTTTACAAATCCTTATCATAACTTAAGATCGAGAAATATGTTCATACTCTTTTAGAGATATTGATCGTTGAATAATTAAAAACTCATATCCTTTCCTTTTAATTACAATATATAGTTATATTCAATAACTTTTAACTGATGCAAGACTGAGGGGTCTAGCCTTTTGTTTATTCTTTCTACAAGAAAGCAGAATACTATTCCATTAATTCCAGAGTTAAATATACATCGAATATAACTATCTCCTTATTCTAATATTTACAATATTTCACATTGTTTTTGATAAAGTACAAAACTATAGTACTTTAAAAGAATGAACGGAAAAATAGAATTCTTATCTACCTATTCAATTGCGAAAGTATAAATTCTATAAAAGAGGAGAAAGTTAATATTTGTTTTCTCTTTTAAGAATGTAATCATCCGTTAGCAAATATCATATTTGTAGTTTTGTTCTTAATTTTACAATAAATACATAAGACAATATAGCTCGCGTACGCTGCGTATCACCACAAAATGATGTCATTCTAGATATTTCTTTTGATGTAAAATTTTTTTGGGTTTTCAGTTAATAGAAAATTTATATAATGTTGAATATATAATTTGTACAATTTTTGCAGACATCATATGAAATAAGACATCATTACTTTAATACCTATCGCAGTGCAATAAAATATCAGTTAATGTAAGATTAATTATTAAACGATAAATCAATCATTAAAGTTTGAAGACTTTTATGTTGAAACGTAGTATAGTTTGAAGTGGTGAATAACTGTATATAAGCTACACATCTATTGAACATACATGATCAGTATCGAAAATGCAAAATATGTTACATGCGATTTAGGAAGGCATACATTTTGAAGTACGTATTTAAACATTGTACGTAATAATATACCCTACAAACACATTAATTTGATCTTAGTTCGTTATCAAATCTTACAATAATTGCACTGTAATAAAAGAGACACAGATACGTAAACATAATTTCTTACATATCGGAAATATTAACGAATAGAAACTTAAAATTTTAGCATCACTTTTTTTCAAGAAACCCGATATATTTAAAAAAATTATTAACTATATGTTAAGAATAAACTGGTTATTTTCACACCTCTCCTAAAAGATCTTAAAAAGATCATTCAATCCAGATAGAATTCTTGCATATTAAATAAGCAATGGAATAAACTTTATACATAGGTACAAGTCACAAGTAGTACTAAATCACAGAATAAACTGTGTAAAGAACTTCACGCTTAAACAATAACCATGTTTAAAGGAGCATAATATAAAATGCTCAGTCAGGTAAAACAACACAAGGCTCCATCGAAATTACAGTTGTTTAACAACGCATTCAAGGACGGTAATAAGGAAGGAGCACTAGGAATTAGCATTTGGCGGAGGTGGTCTTCTATCATAGTCTCGTCTATAATCTTTGTTTGGTCGCCATTCGCTAGGATAATTATCTCCAGGGTAACCTCGACCTCTAAAGTGGCTCGGAGGAATATCAGATGGAGGATAACCACCGCCACCTCCACCTCCATATCCTCCTGGACCGTATCCATAACTGGGTGGTCCTGATGGATATCTATAATAATCACTGAACACGAATTTTATTAATATTATTTTTATTCAAAATCTTGTTTCATTCTTTTAAATTTATAACTTACCTCCGTTTGTCATTCATATGGATATTACGGTCGCGATCTCGATCTCTGTCACGATGATATCCACTAGACATTCGTCCATAAGAATCAAACCGGTCACGTTTGTGATCTCCAAATCTAGGTATTGATAATCTAAATTATATATTGTATTATACAAAAACGAATTTGTACTGTTTCTATCACACTGATTATACATACCTTCCATCTCGCATATCTCTTCCATCACGGGATAACCAATGGTCATCCTCTCTGCTTCCACTGTAGTGTCCACTTATACTGTAACCGCCGCTATCTCTCCTAATTCGCTCATCTTTACTTCCACTCATCCTGTCCATACTTCTATCACCATGCGCTCTATCTCTGTCCCTATCACGTTCTCGATCTCTCTTCATGTCTTTGTATTTTGATTCTTTCTCCTTGTGTCGTGGCGTGTCCACACTATTAGTGGTACTTGAAGTAGAATTTGGCGTCGACGTAATGGGAGTAATGGTGGTAGCACCAATAGTAACTGCAGATGTATTGCTGATACTGTTTACAGCAGATATAATCGAGAGATGTTTCTTACTCATTGTGCTGCTACTATTTGAATTTTCTTCCGTATCTTCGATCTTTCGTTTTTGTGTTCTACTCTCTTTAATATTTTCTACTTGCTTTTCGATATGTTTTTCGGTATGCTTCTATAAAATAAATTACATTGATGATATTTCTTACATTGTAATAATATTAAAATAAGAACAAATCTCTTATTATACCTTTACATTAGTTGATTCTTCTTTCTTTTCTGGGCTAGACGTAGCACTTGTATTACTTTCACCTCCTTTTTTCGTCGCATGTTTATACAATTTATAAAGTTTCTTCGCATCGAATTCTGTAAATTTAGACACAAAATACCATAAATTACTTCTCCATTCTTTGATTTGTTCAGGATCTCTATATTCTTCTAGACAAGTGTTAATTTGGTTTCCAATTTGTACAAGACACTGTCTCGTGTGAGCGACTTGTTCCGCTTCACTCAAAGACTGGTCTGGTCTATCTAAAGCCTTAAGCGCCTTCTTTACTGGTCTCATCTTTTCTTTGCACTGCATAGTAGAAAATACAATATTCAAACTATTGTGTAAATTTGATATATAAAAGTAACATTAAATTTTTAAAATAAATTAAATTAATAACCTCATTAAATATAGAAGGATCCAAATCACCAAGAACATCAAGAGCTCTTGGTTCATTATTAGCAGTAAAATGCATCGGACCCGCTGCTTGTTTTGCTTTTTTAGCCCTCTTATTTTCTTTTTTCTCCCTTTTAGCTTTCTTTTCCTTTTTTTTTTCTTCTACTATCTCTTCTACTTCTTCTTTAGTTTCTTTCTTTACGACAATCTCTTCTTCTTTCTTTGTAGATGGCTTTAAGTAAAATAAGCATGAAAACATTTGTGTATAGAATATTTCTGAGAGTTAAATGTAAATATGTAACACAAATATACTTTTAATTGTATATAAATTTACCTTTTCGACTTTGGATTTAGATTTATTACTTTCTTCACCTGAACTATCATTTTCCTCTATAATTTCTTTTGTAATTGCAGTTTTTGTTTCTTTTGGTTTTCTTGGTTTTCTTGCTTTAGTCTAAAATTAATATTTAAATATATTAAAATACAAATGTGAAATGGAAGATGACAAGGTTTAGGAAAGGAAAATGCAGCAGAGAAGCGCTCATAGAGGAAAAAAAAGCATTCAAACAGTGATGTAATGAAAGAAAGGAAAGGCACGAAGAAGAAGAAATGGAGAAGATAAAGATGATCAAAACAGAACAAGAAGCGTGGAAATACATTAACAGATATAGAAGAAATAGGGAAGGCATAGATGAGGATATAAGCGAAGAAGAGTGGAAAAATCATTTCATGGAAATTTCGGAAGGGACAGAGCACAAAGAGAGCCGAGAAACAGGGGGGCATAGAGAGGAAGAGAAAGCAACGGAGGGGAGAGAAGATAATATAAGGAAGGAAGAGGTGTGATTTATCAGCTAAGGAATTTGAAGGAAAAGAAAGCAACGGGGGAAGACGGGTTAAAAAATGAGATATGGAAGTATGCACCGAAGGAAGTGGGGGGAGGAGGCGTTATGGGAGTTATTAAAGAAGATATAGAAAGGGGAGGGGATACCAGAGGACTGGAAAAAAAGGGGTGATATGCCCGATATATAAGAAGGGGGACAAGAGAATAGCGAAGAGCTACAGAGGGATAACGCTGATGGATACTGCAAGATCTACGCAGGGATATTGGACGAACGTCTGAAAGCAGAGATTGAAGACAAATTGGAAGAGAGCCAATTTGGATTCAGAAAAGAAAGAGGAGTGACCGATGAGGTTTACATGATAAAGCACATCATAGACAAACAGCTAAGCAAAGAAAGAGGAAAATTATATGCCTGCTTTGCGGGCTTAAGAGCGGCGTTCGACAGGCTAAACAGAGGGAAATTGGAGGAGAAAATGAGGAAAATGGAGATTAGAGAAAAGCTAATCCAGAGGATTACAGAAATATACGAAGAAACGAGGAATATAGTGAGAGTCAAGAACCACAACACAAGAGAATTTTGGACTGTGAGGAGAGTCAAACAAGGATCCCCATTGAACCCGATGTTATTCAACATCTACATGGCAGGACTAGAAGAAGAATTAAGGAAAGGACAAGCCGGGGGCATAGTGGTAGGATAAAGAAAGGTATGGTTATTGACATACACAGATGATATTGTGCTGATGGCGGATAGAGAAGAGGAGCTGAAGGAGATATTGAAGAGACTCAAAAAATTTTTGGAGGAAGCCGATTTGGAGCTGAGCACGGAAAAGACTAAAATAGTAGTCTTTGAAAAAAGAAGGAGCAAATGGAGGCAAAAAAAATGAAAGTGGGGGAAGCAAGAATTAGAAGAGGTGGACAAGATAAGATACCTAGGGTATATACTGCAGAAAAACGGAAGTGATGAGAAGCGCATACAAGACAGGAAAAAGAGAGCAACAATTGCAATGAAGAAAACATGGAGCGTGGGAGAAAGAATATTCAAACAGGACTACAAAAGGGGAATGAAGATGTTTGGAGCACTGGTAGAGAGCGTGGCGCTGTTTGGAGCAAAGGTATGGGGATGGAACATGGAAGAAAGACTGGACAGAGTTCAAAGGGGATATGTGAAATGGATATTAGGCTTAGATATGACAACACCAAACTATATACTGGTAGAGGTATGCAAATTAATAGAAATGAAAGAGAAAGCATTAAAAAGAGCAGCAAGGTATGAAGAGAAAGCCCTAGAATCAAAAAAGGAATTAGTGAAGGAGTGCATAAAGGAAAGAGAGAGAGAATGGGGGAATGGTCAGGAAGGGAAAAGAGCAAGAAAGAGAAAGAAGGGACTAGAAGAGCTAAGAAAAGGAGGGACGCAGATAGAAACAAGAGAGGAGTAAGAAAGGATGACAGTAGACCAAATTATAGAAGAAAGAAGAAAAAGAGAAACAGAAAAGAGGGGGAAAAGGATAAGGGAATCCAAGTATAACATACACTACAGAAACATAGCCAAAGAGAAATTACCAAAGTACTTAGAAGGGAGGATGAAGTGGAAGGACAGAAGAATACTGGCAAGATTCAGATGCGGAAACGAGACCAAAGCAAGGGAATACTGGAAAGAAGAGAGGGGAAAAAGATGCAGACTATGCAAAAGGAAAGAAGAAGATCCAAGACATGTAATAGAATATGAAATAGCGGGAGGACCAAAAGACATAGGAAAAACGCTGAACGAGACTGGAGAAGGTTTAGCAGAACTGAAAGCAATAATAGAGAAGAGAAGGGCAAACGACAAGGAGGAGTTATATAGTTTTTAGTCATTAGTTGATAATTTATAGTTCCTAATGCTTAGTTTTTAGAGTAGTAGAATAAGCAAGGTAGTGCAATAGAATAGAGTGGAAAAGAGAGGAGGTAGACATGTAAGAAGGGAATTAGATGTAAGAGATGTAAAACCGAAAGTTCGTCCAAAGCCGAAAGGCACGGACTAAACAATAATAAATACAAATATGAAATGAATAATCTATAAATTATAAATCTATATATCGTCACCATACAAAGATGAAAGCCATCAGGAATTTGGAAATTACCTTAAATTGATATTCAGGATGTGGGATAAGGACATAACCCTGCCAAGATAGATTACAACGATAAAAGGGATTTTTATGGGAATACAATAAAAGTAAAATAATATATCTTACCACTCCTAATTTGGAGTCAATTTGTTTTTTGAGTACTTTTAATAGATATTCGGCTCGAGTGTTTATTTTTTTTAATTGAAGTTTGCTACCATTTGGGAGAAGTTTATCACCCAGTTTCAAATTATTATCCATTTTTATGATTTCCCATGAACCCATGCCATGTTGGTATATACCTCTTAAAAGCCTAGAATCATCTTCGGAGCTCCAATCACAATCAAAATTTGCCGGTTTCAATCTGTGTAGTAGCATTTATAATAATATAAATACGTATGTGTGTATATAAATATATCTTAATGCAAAAATTCGATAAAAAATATACTCACTTAATATCAATATGCCAATTAGATCGTTGTTCCGAATCCGATGGTAAAGCTTGTTCTAGAGGCTCTAATTCCTTTACCGCGGCAGAGAAAGATTTTGCGTTGACCATAACTCCCCCAATTTTAAATGTAGGACCTCTACCCCTCTTACGACCAGGACCTTTACCCTCTTCTTCACCTTTATTCTCTTTCGCGGTACTTTCAAACTCAGATAAACAAGCTTCACATCTAGATTTTAGTTGATCTCCTAAGAAGCGTAATTCTGACATTGGCTTTTCTTGCAATTCTGCATCCGCCGCAATATCATCTAATCGTTTCAATGGTGCAGGGAATTTTTTATAGCTTTTAACAAACCTTCGTATCTGTGTAATAAAAGAGTTTAAATTTACTCAAACACATGTAAATTATTATAGAGTACAAAACCTAAGTACATACCTCTGCATCAGTGAAACTTTTAATATTTTCTCGTGGCGTAACCCTTGGTCTACCTCTTTTCTTAGGTCGCTCATCATCGCTACCATCAACCTCACTTCCGGAATCCTCTCCTTCTTCACTATCATCGGCAGATAGCTTTTTCCGCTTTCTTCCTCTTCCTTAATAATGAAGCAAACATTGGATAATATATAATATATAATATATAATATAATTTAACGCGTTACATACCTTCTCCACTTTGATTAATTTGCTGCAATGTTTTTCGACTTCTTGGAGGTAAATATAAATCTTCCATTTCTTTTGACTTCTCTTCTTCTTCAACTTTTTTTCTGAAATTTTCAGGAATAATTTCGGCCTAAAATCAATCAGAATACAAATGTTTTAGTTATTTTTTTATACATAGAAATATTATAAAGTATATTTGATATCAAAAAATTAGATTTACCCAATCTTTACTCTCATCATCATTATCATTGGGTTGATTAACTGGTTCGGATTCTTCTTCGAATGCTGCAAAACTAGCAACTTTGAATGCTGATAACAGTTCATCTCCAACTGTTGAAGGCCCTTCATCTCTCGTTTCTGCTCTCCTCAGAATTTCATCAATATCACACTAATAAAATAAAAATAATAAGAACTAATCTTTTCATCTATACATATAGTCTTAAATTAGAATAATTTAAATTCTTTAGAATAATTACAGTGGGTTCTTCATCTCCGTCCTCTTCATCTTTAAATAAATCTTCAGCCCCAAATTTTAAAATAGCATTTAAATCTTCTTTATTAAATGGATTGTTATTGGTCCCTGCACTTTTTTTATCTAATACTGTTCGACCAGTTGTATCCATTCGTTGAATTACAAGATGATCCAGAACCATTTTTTGCTTTGCTCTTTCTACTATTTCCTCCTCTACAGAATTTTTTGTTACTAAACGGTAAATATTTACCTATATAAAATGAAACATTCTTTTTAATAAAATGTTTACTATTTATGATTATAATGTCGATACAAAATATTGAAATACCTGATTCTTTTGTCCAATACGATGTGCTCTAGCTTGTGCTTGTAAATCATTTTGTGGATTCCAATCTGAATCAAAAATAATGACGGTATCAGCGGTAGCAAGGTTGATACCAAGACCACCTGCTCTTGTTGATAATAAAAAGCAAAAATCTTGCGATCCTTCAGCATTAAAATGATCTAATGCTTGTTTTCGTAATTCTCCTTTTATACTTCCATCTAATCTTTGGAATGGAAAATGTTTCTTTTGTAGATATTCTCCAAGAATATCTAACATCCTGACCATTTGACTAAATATTAAGACCCTATGACCTGTTTCTCGTAATCTCACCAATAATTTATCAAGAAGAACTAATTTTCCAGAACCGCGAATTAGTTGCTGTAAATAATCTTCGTTATTGTCCTTCCTTTCACTTTCAGTAGGTTTTGTAAGGAAAGCATGGTTACAGCATTTTTTTAATTCAATAACAATATTCAAGAACGTCATAGTAGAACCTTTAACACCTTTCCGTAATGCATTATAATTCTTGGTTAATATCCATTTATAATATTGTTTTTGCAAAGATGTCATTTCTACTCGTAATATTTGTTCAACTTTAGCGGGCAAAGATTTTTCTACATCTTTCTTAACACGTCGCAAAATAAATGGTTCTAATTGTTTATGTAGTTTAGAATATCCCTTTTGAGCTGCATTATCATGCTCTTTTTCAAATTCCTCCCATGAATTAAATCTATATAAACAAAAAGGACGGTTATAGAAAACTATTATGACTAAGAGAAAATTTGTAAAATCATAACAAGTTATTAACTTAGTAGGCATTATAAAGTGTAGTAAGGCCCATAATTCCTTTAAACTGTTTTGTAATGGTGTACCAGTTATTAGGAGGCGGTGATTCGTATGAAATTCAGCGAGAGCTTTATACAAGAGCGAATCATCGTTCTTTAATCGATGAGCTTCATCTACTAACAGTACGGCCCAATTTAAGGCACCCAGAAACGCTTTATCCTTAAGTACTATTTCATATGTCGTGAGTATGGCGTTAAATTTTAATCTCTTTGAGCTATAACACCACTCATACTCTCTAATCTACACAAAAACAAAATTAAATTTTTAATATGTGATAAATATATTTATAATATGCAACTCTTTTAAATATTGCAAAAGAAATTCGAATTTATAAGAATAAGAAGATACTACATACAACATTACGGGAAGTAACGTCACCCAGATATGTAACAAAATTCATATCTGGTGCCCATTGTGACATTTCTCTTTGCCAGGAAGTCATTGTCGAAAGGGGCACCACTAATAAAAATGGCCCATAAAGCTGATGTGTGTGGAATAAATAATAAAGGAAGCATATTGTTTGTATAGTTTTTCCAAGCCCCATTTCATCTGCTAAAATAACACTGTAAACGAATAAAATTCATTATAATATAATATGTATATTGAGAGATTATATAAAATAGTGAAATATAATCTACCTATTCTCTTTGCACCAAGAATGGATCATCCAGTTCAATCCATCCATTTGATAGTCTCTAAGAGTCAAATCCCGACCTTTTCCCATATAGTCTGGTTGTCCTTTTAACTGATGGAATTTGGGCCTAGACTTAAGAACTTTGCAATGTTTACTTGGTGTTCTTTTTGACTCTTCTCTTTCACGAAATTCTTTTATCTTCTCTGGCCATTTTTTAACAATCAATGCTCCATCTTCCCATGTAGCCTCAGCATAGGGTAAACTTTCCCATTTACAATAATAATCTGGATGATCTGAATCAGGTTTGTTATATTCAGCAATAATTCTTTCAACATTATTGTAACTTTTCAGGAGATCTTGTTGAAGTTCTAATTGGCATTCAAAGTAATCTATATCTTCGGGTCCAGCATAATCCCGCCACTGTTTGATTTCCCGTTCTCGTTTAATAAAATTATCTAATTTTTTTAATCCCTTTACTTTTTGTGCTTTCAATGACTCTTCTGATTCCCATGTATTATGTATATGAGACCATCCCTTCCATTTTATTGAATATTGCAGTTCAGTTTCTTCATTAGACAGATCCTCTGGATTTGGATTGCCATTTTCTTCTATAGCATAAATTGTTGTGACATTACCTGTAACTAAAAGAGGATATGCTATAGAAGAATATCTGAGAAAATAAGGATATGATCACGTTTGTGATTATTTCGCAATTTACAGTTTGCAATTATTTGATAGACTAACCTCCCTTTTTACCAACTCTTTGTCCCAAAATTCGTTCAATTGTTTCTGTATTATCTGGTTCTGGATTTGCAATGTTACCTTCTTCAATTTCTACAAGATCTTCACTATCAGTTCTCTCTTCACTTTCCTCTTTGTAACTAATAGCAGTTCCACTTCTTCTTGTAACTTGCCTAACAGATTTAAATTAACATTAATTTATCAGTATTATATGGTATTAAAGTATTTTATGGTATTTTATTTTTGAAAAATTATATATATATATTTTTCAAAAATAAAATACCATACCAATACCTCCATACAATAGTAATACCTCCTGTTATCATCACTATCAAAAGAAGAATTTTCAGATGATTCTGAAATTCGTTTTTTCCTTATCCTTCCTTTTTCTTTGGCTTTTTGTGCCGCGCGTCTATTCAACGACTTACTAGGTGGTGGTCTCCTGCTTTCAACATTATCAGATTCAGAATCTGAACTGTCTGAGTTCCATGAATTATGTGAACTGCAAAAAAAAAGACAATGCTAGCACATGTGTATTTAATAATATAAGAAATATTATAATAATGAAAAAATGAAATACATTTATAAACTTCATTGTTTGATACTTTTATCACATAATATAAGTTTATTATTTCAATGATATATTTAAATTATACTTATTAAAATCTTGCTTCTACTTTTCAATAATAAATACAGATTAATTCACATGCTTGATATAAAAATGTCCTCTTCTATAAAATATTAATGAATAATTAACTAATAATTAATACAGCAATTTAATGTGTAATTTATTAAAACTGTAATATATAATAAGGAAAAAATGTTCTTTTTCTGGTGTAATAATTTTTACTTACTTTTAGTAATAAGAACATAAGGTTTCTAAGTGGTATTTTGCTATAGCATATTGATAAGATTTTGTATATATACATGCAGATAATCTAACACAAATTCAGGTGAAAGATTTCATACTTATTAAATAGTTCTTTTTGAGTAAAAATTTTAATGAATCACATAAGTGCATATGAATAAATATATAGCACAAACTTAAAGTGCAATAAATAATAAAATTATTTAATGCAATGCAATAGTTTACTCAACAAAACAAAATTGTAGATAAGATAGAAAACAAACAATAGTGCTATAGTGGAAAAATTTATTTGAAGCACTAAGCTTATTAAACACAAATATAAACATCAAGAATGAAAAATATAAAAGCACATTGATACACAATATATGCAATACAGAAAAGTGCATACATGATTAACATAAAAGCTTCATAGAATTATTATCACAGCTGAAGTTGCAAGGTACAAACGTACTACATAACAGCTACTTGTATATTATATTATCCAAATTCATTTTTCTAATAAATATCACTTTTCTAAATTATAAAAATTAAGACTTATAATATTTTTGATTTTATGATTATGATTCTACACACTTTTGAAATATAATTGAATGTTAAAAAATAAAGAGCTTCATTTTTTATATTTGCTCAAGTAGATATATCATAAATTTATAAAATACTCTTTTAAAAAATGCAAATTCTGAATTACCATTGTCTAAATAATAAAACTGCATTTATTTATTATATGTAGTTATATTAATTCAATTCATAAGGAACTGGGAGGATTATAGAGTTTATAATTTCAATTTCCGATAATTACTTGAATTTTTTCATATTACTTACCCCTTTTTTTTAAATTTCTTGCGACTATCGCTATCGCTTTCACGTTGTGTAGCAAGCCTTTCAGGCTCTTTCCTAGAACGGCTAGATCTTCTGATTCCATAAATGTCAGGATTCTCATCCCACTCGCGACTAGACTCATTCTTAAGCCTAACTTTTGTTTCTGTACTGTGATTTGAACTTTTGCTCTGGAAGCTATCACTTTGTGCAGGTGCATCCGACTTCTCTGATTTATCAGAATCAGAACCTGATCCAGACCCGGAACCACTTGAGGAGCTAGAGTCACTGCATTTGCAGTTGGGCAATGTTTTATTTCACTATCATTGTTTATAATTCACAAAATATATAAACATCAAATTTTCCAAATATAAAATATCGGCTGTTAACTTAAAACAACAATTGATTGCAAACCCAAATTTTATTGATGATTTCATTCATAATGATTATTGAATATTGAACTATAATTTTGTAATCTTTCATTATAGAATGGTCTGGAGTGAAAAATATAGATAATAAACTCAAAGGCGTTATATATTTAATAAAGTAAATGTTGATTTGTCAATGCATATTAATTAATTGCAATAAATTTAGATAATTTGAAATAACTTTAGATACTTTAATATTAGTAATTTTATTCTTGAGCATTTATATTTCAATATATGTATTTGTGAAAATATTCCCGTTTTTTACCTTTCTGTACAATCTAAATTAACATACACTATGTATAATATTATTAGGACAAATTATCATAAGAAGTAAAATGAGTAGAAGCAGTAGGATACTAGCTCACCTAGTGTTTAAATTGTTTCAATATACAAGAAAACATTGCATGAGTAACAGAAACTTGAACATTGTGCTTATATAAAATTCAAGGGATACATTAAATTAGCATGATTGTCAAAGCAATGTTAATGCTATATAAAGCTATAGCAATACACAAAGTTAAGTAATTCATGTCAAATAATCCCTTACATATCAGAAAGTCAAATACACATTATATAAAGGAATAATATCTTACTATTATTAGCTGTTTTAGATTACTATTATTAGCATATTATATCGGTAACAATTGTGTAATACTTTATTGGAATAATAAAATATAAACACATTGCCTTATGTCTTGGACTTTCTGAAAGGAAGAGATTAGATAATAGTAGTTTCAATACCAACCTTTCTGATCCAGAACCAGATCCTGTATTGCTTCCAGAAGAAGAACTATCACTTTTACTTTCATTTTCAGAATCAGATCCAGATTCTTTACCAGACTCAGACTCTAACGTTTTCTGTAATTTAATAAGACAAATCTAACAATATCCTATCTTTAAAAATATATAAGTCGCAATGTGTTGTTTGGAATAGTTTTTACTCATTAATGCTAATATAAGTAATTTTCTGAATGTATTATTTATGTCTTTTAATATAGCAGTCCTTTAAATTTATTTTAGCATATTTTTAACATAATAGTACAACATCTTTCCCATATCTTGGCATATTTTTAATGTTCAGAACATAGCTTGCAGATAAATTAACAATGCCATCTATCAGGAAGATCTTTCCTCCATTTTATAATTCTTGACCACCATTTTGTAGTTAAGAAATGCTTAATTTTCAGGGTCTTCAGAAAGCTTTCTAAGTACACTTCAATAAAATATTAGGAACCTAGCATATTTGATCTTACATCTTTGGATTACATTCAATTATATATTAGTAAAGAAAACATATAATTAGGTATCTACATTAATATAGATTAAACTACTAAAGACTAAATATCAAACAGAAAGATAGTTACATACATGTACTAAAGATTCTATTCTTTAAGAAAAATATTCTTCGACCAAAAGAAAGTTCACAAGCTTTGAACAAATGAAGTATTCTTTCTACATTTGCTATGCATTGTATGTAACTATCTTAAGCCATGAATTGATAGAAGAGTATTACAGAATTTCCTGTAAATGATTAATTTAAGGAACATATACTTCTCTGTAAATAACTAGTATAAGGTATAATGGGTATTACAGAATAATGTAATTCAACATTTTAAGTACTATACAGATTTATTGAACATTTCAGCAAGTACATTATGCACAATACTTGATTAAACTTACATCTGTTTCTTGAACAACATATAAGTTAAGAAAGAAACTGTTCACACTCACTTCACAATAATTCTATACCATCATTAATTTCAATATCAAAATAATATTTGTGATCTGCACCTACAGTTAAATATTTTTAGCATTAAAAGATTGACAAAGATAAATAATACCAAATCTATGTTGGAGACAATATAAAATACAACTCTGTCATGTGAAACACAATATTGTTTGAAAACAAACCCTATATTACATTCCATCTTATGAAAACAATCTATATCTACAGTTATACAGCAACACCATGTGCTTCTATATAACAGAAACAAAACTTTTGTAGATGAAAACTACTGTTATTTTGACCAAGTTTTGTTTCTTCAATAGGTTCCAAAACTTTACCTTTTTCAAAACTATCTATAAGATTAAGAAATGTTTGAAATGTTAAAATTGTGCGTATTTTGCTGCTATGTAGCAATATGAAAACCAAAATACAGTTACTTCAAATATCATACCATACTTAATTCATTAACGATGATATAAACGTCAATGAATAACTCTTATATATAATAAACATATACTTCAGTATATAATATGTATGTAAAAATTATATCATATCTTACGAACTTAAGAAACAATAAATTTTAAATACTCATTGCATAGAAAGTTTTATATTTTACTTCTTCAGATTTAAGTAACACAAGCGGATATAAGCTTGTTTATGATATTTATATAATCAATCCTTGTTCTTGAAAGTTTCAGTATTATGTTTTGTTATGTAGATCTTGGTAAAATGCATTATCCAATATTATATATTAAATATTATACAACTATAAAAATGTATCTAATATAGGATAAATGTAAGGCCTGCATTTATAAGAATCATTGTCCCCCTTAATTTTATACCTTATTTGTATACAATTCTAGTAAAAATGACATTCAAAGTTACAAATGTATTATCTTGCGGTTATTTGTAAACAGAAAATAAATGTATGATGTACTTGTGTCCATACAAATTCAAATTTTATGGAAAACATATCATAAATAAAGAATCAGATATTATTCATAATATATAAAAATTCTTGAAATACAGAGAAATGATTCCTCCTAAAGGAAAAAGCTCAGTATATATGAAATATTTTCCATGTGAAAAGCATGTAATTGTTAGAGCTTTTGCAGGTGATTGTGCTACACAGTCTCAACTATAATACAGAGAATGTGTATCAATCTTTGAGCTTAATTTGCAAAAATGGGTCTATTTAAAATTTTTGAATAAGCATGGACCCAAGGTAAAGGAGAATGCAAGGAATCATTTTTAACGAAAATTAGGGTGGAACAATGACATTTTAAGTGATAAATGTCAAAATGAATGAATGTAAACAAACTTATAGGTTATTAAGAAGCTAGAAACTATGTAAAATTGCAGAAAATTGTGATTTAGTGAAGACAAGTCCCTGAGCTCATAAGGTCAGTAAGACCCCGCCCTATACGCAAAAACCTTTTAAACAAATTTCCAGTGGTTTTTTTCGTTTTTACGAGGATTTTTCTCCTTGTAGATCAATGAAACGCATGTGACAACGCGATTTTTCCCTACTCCAAACAACACCACTGCTATATCACGCAAATTGTTCTTTAAAACAACATTGACGCTCGTATTGGCAACGGAAACAAACAATTATTGCTAAAAAAAAATTGACGAAAAGCTAAAACTTAAACAATTTTCGAACCCGACCACTCACCTGCATCATTCCGTCTGCGCGTCGCACCGATATCTCGATATAACATGCACCACGCACAATATCACGTTAATTTAATAATTAAACTGTCGTGTATACACGTATCCGTTGTATTAATCGACTATTGATACACAAAGTCGCGACATCGTACAAAATTATCGAATTTCCACGTACTATATGTTCACAGGCCTGAGCTTGGCCGCCATTTTGTGAACTAGTCTCGTTCTTTCGCCCTCCCCGACCGTCCTCCGTCTACCGTTCCAACATGCAGCGCGCGCGCACCTCTCCCCTCCCCTTCTTCCATCTACACCCCTTAGTAAAATGAACGCCCTGTAAATCTGATAAAAATTAGATCTTTTATCAACATAATTTCAAAATCTGTAAAAAGACCGTCCTTTACAAAAATAAACATTTACATTCTACAATTTTATTCCCCAATTTTTCAAAGAAATATCGTTTTAATGAATTATATTAAAACGCAGTCAGAAAACGGAAATCGTTGTATGCCAGCCATTTTGATTACTCACAGAAATTTTACCCAGAATGCCTGGTGAGTTTTTCTGTTGCTCTGTATATGCGCAATTATAGTGATCGAGTAATCATGCAATGAAATCCGTTTACTTATATAATTCGTTATAACAATTTTTTCTCATTTTATAGAAAATATCCTTTAAAATGTAGAAGAAAATGTAATTATTCAGTTGTAGTAGTTAAATATAATGTTCACTTAATCCACTTTAAGAATAAAGACATTATATAGGAAAAATTTTTACAGAAATATGTTTTTGTGTACATATAGAAATCATGAATATATAATATTATTTTCGAGCTCAGAGACTTAATCTTATTTCTTAGGACGTTATTATGAAGCTATGTATGATATCTTGGATACTGTATGAAAGTTAATGATGTTACCATGCAAAGTGAATAAGCGATTTTATAAAGCAACATAATATGTAAAAGCTGTCGTTTTACATCAGATTGGGTAGAGACAAAAGACAAATTTGATCGAATTGAAACTATAAAAATATTAAGTACATTAAATAGAAAAAAATATTTTTAATAAAACAAATAGTTTTACCCGGTCCAATGAAAACCAGCTTGCATTTTCGCAGGCGTTGTAACTAACGTATTATGACGAGAATGAAAGACGAAAAATATTACCCAGACACCCGTGGCACGTCATATCGGAAAAGGAAGAAAAGCCAGCGGGTTCGATATACGATTATTTACGATTTCCGGTTGAAAGTCGATTTCTTGCCTTATCACTCCATTCCACATATCGATATCTCGTTTGGCGATGGGCGCGTAAAATAATTATATGAAACTGCTACAGGTTAGCACAATATTAAAAATTAATAAAAGTAATATATACATATATTTAAAGTAAATTCTTAAACTTAAAAAATTAATTCTTCATTGTATTTGATCTATGTGTATTATTAATATCCTAAATATGCTATATATTCATAGTTTTATACATTTATCTTTATTGTAAGAAAGAAATTAAAAATAAAATACGAAATGGATAAATTTTCGCGGGAGCGTATAAGTTATTTCGGAAATTCGTAAAAGAGACAGTGAAATGTATTTTCTTTATTTACATTACAACTTTAGGTTGTTTACAGTTTTCAATGTACATATGACATAATTCAAAGAAAAAGATAAAAAATGTTTAAGTAACGCAACAAATTATGATTTATATATATATGTCGGAGGTGAAAGGTCACCGGATAATTAAACGATTTGTCGTCACTCTACCCAATCCTACCTGTTTGCGATTTACGATAATAAACTTGGGCTCAAGGCGACCATCAGTCGCCGAACGTAGCCGCGGTCAACGGGACGGACGTTTCGTCTAACGAAGGCGTGGAGTTATAGTATGACCCTCATTAAAAGAAATACCCATAGAGGTATACCAGATGATGAGGAATACCAGATATCGAGGCACGTACACAGCACAAGTCCAGCCAGTCCGGGGACCCGCTATAAAGCCTGGGTTTTTTAGGCAATTAAGATTTTTGCAAACGGACAGGCAGCTTTTGTCCCAAATCGACCAATCGACAGCGACGCCGATCGGGGGAGCTGGCGTACCTAAACACCCCACCAGAGGTTGTCTCGGTGGCGACGTTGGGACAAAGATTCATTCCTTCTGGAGACCTCATCGACGAAGGGACTAGCACCGCTTGATCCGCGAGTAGTACACGTTTGAGCTAGGGCAAGTCTATCTCTCATCCCGTTGACCGCGGATTTGTTACCGGACCTAAGACCAGCGTCATTAGCACTACAAGTTATACACCGCTGCTGTTGATTGTCGCGTCGGGAGTGTTCATTCGCGTGCGAGCAGACTGTATCCGCGCGACACCACAACGATGGCCAATTCCAAGGAAGATCCACCGAACGCTCACAACCCTGCTTGTGACCATTCTACGACATATATATATACACACACACACACACACGCATATATATATACATGTGTATATATGCATTCTACATGCATTAGTACATATAAATATTAATATTTGTAAATATTCATATCAGAAGTAACCTTTAATTATTCAATTTAAATATAAGATAAAGTGCATCACGTTTTACTAGATAATTATCATGTTTAATTAACAAATTGCAATATTCACACCTCCTATAATAACTCGAAATTATGTGACAATTCAGTCTTAAAGTAATTCAAGGCATAACCATAGTATAATATTATTATAATAAGAAAAAGACAACGAAGATAAGAATGTTGTATTCATTGTCTAATGACAATATTTTATTATAACATATTCACGATACTAAAGAATATATATATATATATACTTGCATAAATGAGTCATGAAAGTCAACATATGTAATTTACAGACACGCGTTATTCAGGATTGGCCGCCGAGGTTTCTTCTACATCGTCCGCAGTTACTCCTTCCTCTATCAAATCTTTAGCTTCTACATTGTCTGCAGCTACTCCTCCCTCTATCAATTCTTTAGCCTCTGCATCATCCGCAGTTACTCCTGCCTCTATCAATTCTTTAGCTATTGCATCTGGTAACCAAAGACCACTATCAACACATCGTTTCATGTGATAGAATGCTTCTTTTCGTGGCATCACTGCTAACGTTTCTTGCAATAAAGCATGATCTTGGGTTTCAAAGCATTTTTGTAGAGGCTAAAAAGAATATATTGCAGTAAACACATGCTATATCAAAATAATAAGCAGAAATATTTACAATAAATTTGCTTGTACCTCTGGTAGACTTTCAAATACTTCAAGAGGGTCAAGACCACCTGGACCTCGACGCGCTTTTTTCTCCTCTTCCTCAGCTTCTTTAAGGGCATCTGCTACTTTTTCAACAGCTCTTTTACGTATTCTTTCTTTAAATGCTCTCAATTCATCTTCGAAAGAATTTCTATGTTCTAACTCAGCATTTTGAATACGACTAAAGAAGGAACCTACACATGCTCTTGGATCAACATCTAGTTGTTTTGATAATTCTAAAATATATTGCATACATATACATTGATGCGCGACGTGTTCCATTAGATCATGTTTCTGAAATTAATAACATATTGATAAAACAGATTCATGTCATTATCTATTATCTATTACAAACATTCAACTGTATATATACTTACTTCTTCTATTTCTAGGTTAATACACCAGATAACCAAGTAATTTGCAGTATTTTCGCATACTAACTGGGGATTATCTTGTAAAAATTTCTTACTATCTTCATACCTTCCGAGCATACCAAATTCTTTCAACTTCTTCTCGTTTTCTTTTGCAAATTCTTTCATTTTTTTTTCTTTCTCTTCATCTGACAACCCATTGTCATCTCCTTTACGTGGTGATCTCTTATTAATCACTGTTTTTGTAAAACCATCTTGTCCAATAGTATCAACATTCCAAGGTGTTAATTTCTCTTTTTTCTTCATTTCCTCTTCCCTTTCTTTAATCTTTAAATCTTCTTTTTCAAGATCTTGCAAAATTTTTTTTAGTTCGGTTAAATCTGCTTCCTTTTGTTCATTTTCTAATTTTTTAATTTTTTCCTCTGTTTCTTTCATTTTTTGTCGAGTTCTATAAATAATATAAGTTTTTAAATTAATGATGATGAAATATACATATTACTATTGTGGATAATTTATGTATGTAACTTTATGTTTAAAAATTAACATACTCTGTCTTTTTCCTTTGATGCTCCTCTTGCTCACGTCTCCTTTCTTCCATTCTTTCAACCCTTGCTTGATGACGCCATCTAAATAATGATGGTGTATCAATGTTTGGGTGAGTATCATCCTCATCGTCTGAAATCTGGCAAGTATAAATTTTAACATCATACATACATATCATTGTTTATACATATAATATACTTCATAAATTATTTTAGGTACATAAATATACTAATTATAAACAAGTACACTCAATGAGAAAAATAGAAAAAAAGACAAATATTAAACAAAAAAATGATATTAGATTTAGTATAATAAGCTTGTACTGAAGAATGTACTCTATTTTTTCTCAATTTATAAACAATAAATACCTAGATAAAAAAATTTTCTTCTAGACAGCTTCTAAATTTCATAATTATTTTATATTTTTGTCAAGTATATAAATAAAAAATTGCTTCGGAATTTCTACTATTACTCTAGAATATTCCATAAGTATACTGGACCAAAACTAGGGTTCCTACCTCAATATCTTTCCATTTGCTATAATCCACCATCGTTCAGCCGGTTAAACGTACTTTCTATTCAATAATGTATCCTTATGGAACTGATTAGTTTATAAATATGACTTGTGTATAAAGTTTCTTTTATTTTTTTATTTTTATAAAAGCAGAAATACGACGCCCTTACTTGTCGAAGTTTAATTGTCAACTACATTGGTGTGAACATAGAACATATTCGCACGAGATAATCGTTCGATGTATCATACCAGTGACTCTCAATTATTTAAATTAATTCGTACGAAATTAATAAACATATACGATATACGTAATTAACTTTTATTAATAGTATTAATAATATAAATTTCATGACATTAGTGATAATAAAAAATATTTGTATACCTCTTTACCACAGAAAATGCAACTTGTTAAAACAGTATATGATAGTTTAATTCAAAAATGCATGATTAAATACTGTAGAAGTTTATACGATAGCCGTATGCGGCAATTTCTTTAAATTTTATTGATTGTAATCCTTCATTCAAAGATATGGTTTTGCTTTCTACGTATAATATATACATAAAGATTAGACATAAGCACGTGTACTCCAAATACGCTGAATTTGGCGTTATATACAGGCACTCTAGATTTGTTGATCTTCAATGAAAACGTTTCATTTAATTCTTTCTTATTCACTGAATTTTATACCTTGAAAATAATGATTGGTATGCGAATGAACGCGTTTAATGATACAGGACTTGGTGAACCAGAACAAGATGCAAATACCGCACTTATAGAATTAGATAAAGGTATGTTTATAGTCTTCAAGTTAACCTCGAATCAATTTTTCTACAGTTCTTATTGTAGTAAAAGATATTTTTTAGGTCTACGATCAACAAAAATTGGCGAACAATGTGAAGCCATAGTGCGATTTCCTCGATTATTCGAGAAATATCCTTTTCCTATATTAATAAATTCTTCTTTATTAAAATTGGCAGAAGTTTTTCGTACTGGCAGTAATTTTTTACGTGTTTGGGTCCTTAGAGTATGCCAGCAAAGTGAGAAGCATTTAGATAAAATTTTAAATGTTGATGAGTTTGTGAGACGTATTTATAGTGTTATACATTCTAATGATCCTGTTGCTAGAGCTTTGACTCTGCGAACATTAGGTAGTGTGGCTGGTATTATACCAGAAAGACAACAGGTATAATTTTATTAACTTTTATACCTTAATTTGTATCTTTTGTTACGTACAAACTTTAAAGCTGAAACATTATTTAATTTATAAGGTACATCATAGTATAAGAAGATCATTAGACTCTCACGATTCAGTTGAAGTTGGAGCTGCAATATATGCTGCCCAAATGTTTGCTGCACAATCAAAATTATTTGCTGTTTCCATGTGTAGCAAAATATCTGACATGATTAGAGGTCAAGCAACGCCAGCATCAATGAAATTACAACTTATACCTATTTTACAATATATGCATCATGATACTTTCACAGCTTCAATGGTATGTAAATGTAAACTTTAAACTTGTAAATAGAATTCAAATATTTTTTTAATAATAAGTTTGTTAAAGGTAAATGAGCTTTGTATGGAACTCCTTGGTAGCTATCCAGCCGTTGAATTTGTGAGAGTCACATTAAGCGCTTTAAGTACACTAGCTTCTGCAACATTAATTGACGTTCCACAACAAGTTGCTCTTTTATTACGTTACCTGCAAGACGATCCGAGATTGACTATCAAACGCCATGCTTTACATCTACTGCATTCGTTAGCAAGAAGAGGAGCACATTTATGGCCGCAGGGCGCACTTAATAATTTGATAGGTAAATATAATAAATAGATAATTTTATGTGATAAATAAAGATAGGTGTTTAATGAATTTTATATTTTAGAAAGTACTACAACACTTCTACAAGATGGTGCTGGGAATAAAGACCTTCTTATACGAACGTTAGACGTAATCGAGGTTATTACTCATTCATAAAATAGTAATGAAGGAAGAAAATTTGTTAAATATTAGGATTTATAAATAAACTTTTAATATTATTTAATTTAGGTACTTAGTCAGAGTGCAGTAACATGTGACGCAAACAGGGAAGAAGGAAATCCCCTACTATCATTATGTGTAAATGCTTGCTATTCTCCTGATCCTTTCATTGCAGTGAAAGCAATTACTATTTTAGCTAGAGTTGCATGTTATTGGTATGTAATTAATAACTTTTTTATCTGTGATGTTAGAATATAGAATAGCTTGAATTATGTATAACTGAATTTTTAACCAAAATCTTAACTTTTTACTCATAGCTATGAAGAAAATTTGCCAGCTTATGGTATACAAGATGTTGTATCTTGTCTAGAATCTTTGATTGTACTATTAGCATTGGATGACAAGTATTTATATCAGTTGAAAGTTTGTTTACGTTCGACAGTAAAACTATGTCAAGCTCAACCTAGCCATTGTGCAATATTTGTCGATGCTATAGGTAGTACACTCTTCAATACTCATGCAGAAGGTGGACAAAGTGAAAAACAAGCCCTTGCTTTATGCGAAGCATTGGGTGCTATTGGAAGTTTAGGTGAAAATACATTACTTCCACTTTTACCAGACATATTAATAAAACTTGAACAAACTGTGCATGTACATACAAAGGTAAAGTTAAACGAAATATATATATGCATACTTCGTAAAAGGTGAATAAAATAAAACAAGTTTTTTCAAAGGTAATGTTATGTACGCTACTTTTTCAAATGATAACGGGAGGATATGAATGGAATTCAGAATGTTTGGAAGCAGTAGAAGAGGTTATTAAAAATGTAGATGGTTGGGCCAAATATCGAATTGCACGTAGTGCTGCAAGATATGGTCATCATACGATAGCAACTCAAATATTTAGGAGTTTAAAGGAAACAGTTGCGTCTGAACAATTACACTTTTGGTTATGTGGTTTGGAATTAGTTACGAAAGCTGAAAGTTTTCTCATGTTAGTTTCTATTTGTTGTCTATAACTCATTTTATGGAAGTATATTCCTATTCCTCAAATCATTACAGTGAAAAAGCAGGAGAAATAGAGGGCAGAGAAAGAATTCATACGGTGGAGAAGTTAAACAAAGCTATTGCGCGTTACGCGAGTGCATGCGCTTCATTAAAAGCTGCTAGTACGCCATTACGAAGTTTACAATTTGCTAGCGAATATTCGAAATTACGGTGTGAATTTCTTCAAGCCATTGTGCAACTTTTACATTCATGCAGGTGCTTTGAATAAATATCATAAAATTACTGTTACTCTTAAGTTTTAAAAATTACATAAATATAAATATGTTTTAGATCCCTTTGCACAGCTCCACCACCTGCTATTACATGTACAGTAGTTTTAAGTACAAAAGATGACCTACAGCGATACGGACGTGTTACTAATCAGGTACTTTATTCTATCTTACATTTTCAGTCCCATCTTGAATATAATACTTACAAAATGATGTATATTTAAAAGTTGAGGAAATCAGCTCAAGAACTTAAAAACTGTGCGGAGAACTACCAGAAACTTTATCAATCAGCTTTTGATGCTGATCCTGGATCATTAATAAACATACGAGCGTATCCTTTTCAATACGTATTTGATTTCTAATTTATAGTTAACTTTAGTATGATTTTTGACTTGACTTACCGTATACAGATTACAAGAAATTTGTCGTTTGTTAGCGAACAGCATCGAGCGTGTTTGCAGCAGTACAGGAATTCAAACGCATCAACAAAACGAAGTCAATTTTAATTTTGGCGATACCGTAGAAATGCGTCAACTGGCTCGCTGTTGCACCGAGTTACGTCGTTTAGCGCCAAGCTGTATAGATGAAAAGAAGACAACTACACTTAATCATTCGAGAATAAACTGCTTAGTCTCACAGGTGATGTTATTAGCTGGACCAAAAATGAGATTACCTATACCTCGATATTATTTCCAAGCTTTGCAAGCAACCAGTGTCAAGTTGTCTGTCTCACCGCAACCACGTGTTCTTGGTGAACCAGTATCCGTTCCTCAAGGAAGTCAATTAGCGTTAAAAGTTGAAGGAGTGTTACGACATGGTCGACGCGCTTCTCTTTATCGTTCTGTCGCTGCTGTTTGTATTTCTATTTCTACTTCGCCTCCATCTAAGATTAATTCGGATCAGAAGGTATGAATAAATATATTCGTTATGGTAAATTTTTTTTATACATATCTATATTGATACCAAGTCCATAAAAATAATGTTTACTAGCAGGATTCTAATACCAACGAACTACAGCAAACGGTTACGCCACATCGCGATTTCTTCGCTTGTGAATTCTTACTTTCGTTAGGAAGTCCGGGTACAACTACGACACAGTGTGTAAGTAATACCACTAATGTCAACAATAACGTAAACAGTAGTGGTGGACAATATCAAGTCACGGCAAGCGCGAGTATACTTGACAAGGATGGCAATGTGTGGAAATGCGGACCGCGTTCCACGCTTCAAGTCAGGGTACACGAAGAGCCAGCTAAAAGAAAGTTACCATAACAATGTGATCGTGTATTTTTTATTATACAACATTGTGCATACACAGCATATAGAATAAAAAATTGTTTTACTTTAATCAAAATTATCATAGTGTTTTATTTTTAATTATCCCCTTATAAAAAAATGTCTTATTTTTTGTAAAAATTGGATTTGTTTTTGTAGCACACATGGCGTTGAGTTAGATAAAAATAATTATATTAAGTAATAAAGTAGAAAGTTGCAACAGCTATGATTCGATGAGAGGTAGAGGAGGACCGAGTAGAGGAGCAGCGATAGTCGATGTACGAGTGGACGCGCCGTGAGAAAGCCCATGAAAGGGAGATTGCGAGGGTGTTCAGCGCACAGTCGTGCACCGTCTGCCCGTTAGTACGGTACGCGCCACATCTTGACATTTGTGCTACGCTTGATTCGAGCATCATCTCGAGAAGAGCAACAGTTATGCCCTCAGATCATTGTGTCATTGGCTGACAACGTCTAATATTAAATTTCGTCACGCGTTTAAGCGCGGTGAGTAACGTGATTTTTCTTTTCAATTTTAAACCGTTTTTTCCTACTTATACGTAAAAGAAGTTTGATAATTCAATTTTGCCGGATAGTATACAACTTTTTATTCAAACTATAAACTACGAATTGTTATAGGAGAAAGTGCAATTTTTATTAAGAAAAAGTTATTTTATCGTAAGAGCCAACAGCCATGATAATATTGCACACTTTTAAAATTTTATTTTTATAATATAACTACTACCTTAATAAATTAGATGTTGTGAGAAGA